TTTAAGGTCAGGTAGTGTTATGCCCCCAGCTTTATCTCTATTGCTCAGGATTGCTTTGGCTATGCATGGTCTTTTGTTAAATGTCTGGATAGTTTTTTCCATTTCAGAGAAAAATGTCATTGGAATTTTGATGGGGATTACATTGAATCTGTAGATCACTTTGGGTACTGTGGACATTTTCACAATGTTAATTATTCCAATCCAAGAGCATGGGATATCTTTCCATCTTCTTGTGTCCTTTTTAATTTCTCTCAACAGTGGTTTGTAGTTCTCTTCATAGAGATTTTTCACATCCTTGGCTAATTTTATTCCTAAGTATTATATTCTTTTGGTGGCTATTGTAAATTGGCTAGCTTTCTTGATTTCTTTTTCTGCATGTTCACCGTTGGAGTATAGAAATGATACTGATTTTTGTGTGTTGATTTTGTATCCTGCAACTTTGCATAAATCATTGATCAACTCTAGGAGTTTTTTTGTACAGGCTTTAGGCTGTTCAATGTATAGGATCATATCATCTGCAAACAGGGACAGGTTGACTTCATCTTTTACAATCTGGATGCCCTTTATTTCCTTCTCTTCTCTGATTGCTCTGGCTAGTACTTCCAACACTGTGTTGAATAGGAGTGGTGAGAGTGGGTATCTTTGTCTAGTTCCTATTCTTAAGGGAAACTCTATCGGCTTTTCCCCATTCAGAATGATATTAGCAGTGGGCTTATCATATATGGCTTTAATTGTGTTGAGATACTTTCCATCTATACCTAACTTGTAGAGAGTCTTTATCATGAAAGATTGTTGAATTTTTTCAAGTGCTTTTTCAGCATCTATAGAGATGATCATATGGTTTTTGTCTTTGCTTTTATTGATGTGGTGTATCACATTTATTGATTCACGTATGTTGAACCAAATTGTATCCCTGGAATGAATCCCACTTGATCATCGTGTATAATTTTGTGTATGTGTTGCTGTATTCTCTTAGCTAGTATTTTGTTGAGGCTTTTTGCATCTCTATTCAGCAAGGATATTGGCCTGTAGTTTTCTATTTTTGATGTATTTTTGTCTGGTTTTGGTATCAGGTTGATGTTTGCCTCATAGAATGAGTTTGGGAGAATGGCCTCTTTCAGTCTTTTGGAACAGTTTGTAGAGAATTGGTATCAGTTCATCTTTGAAGGTTTGGTAGAACTCTGCAGTGTACATGTCTGGTCCTGGACTTTTCTTTGTTGGGAGCCCTCTGATAACAGCTTCAATCTCTTTTATTGTTATTGGTCTGTTCAGATTTTCTGTATCTTGTTGCCTTAGTTTTGGTAGTTTGTATGTGTCCAGAAATTTATTGATTTCCTCCAGATTTTCAAATTTGTTGGCATATAGTTGTTTGTAGTAGTCTGTAATGATTTCTTGTATTTCTCAGTTGTCAGTTGTAATATCACCTTTTTCATTTCTAATTTTTGTTATTTGCGTCTTCTCTCTTTTTTTCTTAGTTAGCGTGCTAAAGGTTTGTCGATTTTATTTATCTTTTCACATAAACCAACTTTTTGTTTCATTAATCTTTCGTATTGTTTTTCGGGTTTCTATTTCATTTTATTCTGCTTTGATCTTAATTATTTCTTTCCATGTACTAACTTTGGGTTTCGATTGTCCTTGTTTTTCTAGGTCTTTAAGGTGAAGTGTTAGGTTGTTTATTTGCCATCTTTCCATTCTTCTGAAGTAAGCATTTAATGCGATAAATTTCCCCCTTAGTACTGCTTTTGCTGTATCCCCCAGGTTTTTGAATGATGTGTCATTATTTTCATTAGTTTCAAGGAATTTTTTGATTTCCTGTTTAATTTTTTCTTGGACCCATATGTTAATAAGTAGAATGTTCTTTAATTTACATGTGTTTGTATGGTTTCCAGAGTTTTTTTGTTATTGATTTCTAATTTTAATCCATTGTGATCTGAAAAAATATATGGAATAATTCCAATTTTTTTGAATTTGTTGAGATTTGCTTTGTGACCTAATGTGGCCTATCCTGTAGAAGGTTCCATGTGCTGATGAGAATAATAATGGGATCTCCAGCCCATGTCGATCCCTGCTGCCTAGAGACACTTAAGAGTCTCTAGGCCCACACCCCCCCCAAGACAGGCGTTGCGGGACCCCCAGCCCAGGCTAGTTCCTGCTGCCTTGAATTGGCAGTCCCTTCAGCCTCTAAGCCCCAGACATCAGGGTGAAATAAGTGGAGTGTGATACCCCCTGCCAGAATGACAAAACACCAAAGGGAAGATAACAGAAATATGAAAAATCAAGAAAGTACATCACCACCAAAGGAAAATAATAACTCTCAAGCTCTAGATCCTATGGGCCCCAAGGCTCTTAAGTCTTTCTAAGCGCTGGCAACCATCCTGTGCTGGAGGTCCCACAGCACCTGCCTTTTCCAGTGCAACTGACTCTGGGAGTGTGAGCCCAGAGGCTCTTAAGTCTTTCTAATCTGCGTGGACCGACCTGAGCTGGAGGTCCCTTAGTGCCTGCCTTTTCTGGTACAGCTGTTTTTGGGCATGTGAGCCCAGAGGCTCTTAAGTCTCTCTAAGCAGCAGGGACCAACCTGGGCTGGAGGTCCCGCAACACCTGCCTTTTCCAGCTTGGCTGTCTCGGGGTGTGTGGGCCCCATTGCTCTCAGGCCTCTCCGGGCAGCAGACATTGGCCTGGACTGGAGTCCTGCGGCGCTTGGCTCCTCATCATTTAAAGTTATTATTAATAAGGAAGTGCTTATTTTTGTCATTTTGTTCTCTATATGCCAAGCTTTTTGGCCATCGTTTACTGCCAAGTTGTCTTCTTTTGAGTTTAATCAGTTTTTGTGGTGATGCATTTTAATTTCTTTCTCATTTCCTTTTGTGTATATTCTGTAGCTCTTTTATTTGAGCTTACTATGTGGACTACATTTAACATACTAAAGTTATAACACTCTAATTTACATTTATACTGGCTTAATTCAATAACATTCAAAACTCTGCTCCTTTATAGTTCTGTCCCCATTCCTTTTTTTGTTGATGTCAGAAAATTAAATATTTATATGTTGTAAACCTGCAAACATAAACTAATAATTCTTTTAAATGCATTAGTTTTGTAAGTTATATAGAAACTAAAATGTGGGATAACATACCAAAGTACAATATTGCTGGCTTTCAGACTAGTAATAGTTTTTTAAAAAAATGTATCAGTCTCTTAAATTATGTAAAAAGTAAAACTGGAGTTACAAACCATTGTTACAATAAAAGTAGCTTTTCTAATTACCAATACGTTTACCTTTGTTGAGGTCTTTATTTCTTCATATGGCTTCAGGTTACTAAGTCATATAAGTTCATTCTTGAGCATGTCTTGCAGGGTAGGTTAGTGGTAACATGTTCCCTTAGCTTTTGTTTATCTGGGAATGTCTTACTTTCTTCCTCATTTGTAAAGTACAGTTTTGCAATATATAGGATTCTTGGTTGACATTATTTTTCTTTTAGCACTTTGAATATTGCCCCATTGCATTCTGGCCTCCAAATTTTCTTATGAGAAATCTACTGATAGTTTTTTGAGGCTCCTTTGTATATGTTGAGTTCCCTTTCTTTTGCTGCATTCAGATTCTCTCTTTGTTATTTTCTTTTGAAAGTTTGGTTAGAATTTGTCTTGGTGTGAGAAAAAGATAAAAATGTAGGGGGTCTGAGGGAAAAAGGCTGTTCCTTCAAATCCCCTGGAAGTCACTTTAGCAGGAAAAGAAGGAGTGTGAGAAAGTAGGGGGATGTGTTACAGTAATGGCTACCTCTTTGTCTGCACCTCTGTGATAAGAAGTAGCAGTATGCTATCAGAGCACAGATCCCAGATACTTGACGGATCGGATGGTTTCACCTACCCTGATTCCTGTTTGCTATGTACAAGCTGACCCTGGAATGCAAGAACAGTTGCCTAACATGTGGCAGAGGTTGGGGGATGGGTAGCAGCTGTTGTGCTAAGATCTAAGATGGATTGAAATTAACCACAGTTTATCTTCCAGATTTTCCTCTGGATGTTGCAAGTCTTCAGTCCAGAGTTCCAAATTAGTTGTGTCAGATAGATTCTGCCAGTGTAATTGTTGTGTAGATGGGGAGATATAGATTCTTTGTGTTTACCACTTTAATTTCCTCCTTGAAATTTTTAATAACTTTAAATATTATTAAATTTTAAATGATTAATAGATTGTATGTCAAATTTGACCTGTTTTATTCTCTGAAATGTTTGCTTTTCTTTAGAAGTGATGAAGATAGGGAATTATTTTATTTTGAAGCAAATAAATGCTTATCATAATGTGCATTTGCTAAACTGCTTTTAAAATAAACTCTGGTAGATTCTAGTATGAATTTAAATTCAGCGAGAAAGAGTACTTTATTGGGAACACACAGTATATATATATATATATATATATAACCTGTTTATATCATTTTGTTCATGTGTAGATGACTTTGTTTTTATGCCATTTTAATATATACAAATATTTTATTTACATATTATTTTATTAATATTACATTAAAATTATTCTTATTTGGAGGAAATGTTCAGCAAAACTCCATGAATCTTTATTTTTGTTATCAATAATATTATTACTACGTGGTTTGTTGAAGAGCCTATCCTTATCTTTAATATAGCTAGAAATATTTGTATTATGACTAATAACATTTATTGAGAACAAATGTTGAATGTTGGTGAGGTAGCTTATCTCCTATGAAACCTTATGTAGCAAATTTATTCACTTGAGGTTTTATCTTGAAAAATGGGATGTGAAAAATTTTTAATTATGTGCTTCCACTTATGTTTTATACCTAACTGGTGTTTTTAGCTTAACCAATTTGTGTTATTACTATTTTATACTTCAGGGATTTGCTGAACATTTTCAAAATATAGAGTTTTAAATACTTGAAACTTTAAATTATTTTTACTTATTTATCGTAAAGCTACGTGAACCCCAAATTGTATACATTAATATCCATGTCGTTTTGGATTTTGTTTGGTAGATTACATGCAGCAAACTGGAGGTCAAGCACATCTTTTCTTCTGGATGACAGTGGAAGGATACCGAGTTACAGCCCAGCAGCAGCTAGAGGTTTTATCAAGTCGTCAGAGAGATGGAAAACATCAGACCAACCAAACCAAAGGTCTTTTAAGAGCAGCTGCTGTTGGAATTTATGAACAGTATTTATCAGAGAAGGTGAAGATATAACTTGATTACTGTTTTTGTATCTTCTTTGACAGTATTGCTAATAATAATTTCTATAATATTTGCAAAATCCATTACTTATGCCAGGCACAGCTACTTCACAAACATTCTTTCATTTTTCTTTCTGTGTATTTTTATCCTTATTGTTAAGTGAAGAATCTGATGTTAAGAAAATCAAATTAATGTGGCCAAGGTCATACAAATACTAAATGTGACAAATCAAGATTCAGGGTCACATGCATTTTTGATTTAAAGACATAATAGGTTGAAAGTAAAAGTATAGAAAAAGATACATCATGCAAAATAAAAGAGATCTGGAGTGGCCATAATATCAGACAAAATAAAATTTAAGATAAATATTGATATTAGAGAAAAGAGGAATATTTTATAATTTTATAATGATAGAAAGGTCAATTGGTCTGGATGATAAGACAATTATAAACATATATGCACCTAACAACAAGTCTCCCAAAAGCATGAAGCAAAAAATTCAACAATAATAGTTAGAGACTTTAATACTCCAGTCTCAATGATTAATAGAACTCTTCAGTGGAAAATCACTAAAAATATAGAACACCACTGTAAAGCAATTAGACCTAATGCATCTATAGAACATTTCACCTAACATAAACAAAATACACATTATTTTCAAGAACACGTGGAAGATTCTCCACAATAGACCATATGCTAGGCCATAAAACACATATGGATTCTGAATATTTGAAATACTTCTATATCAATGAAAAGGTTTTTCAGGTCTCCAAAAGAGACCAATGATCAGTTGAAAATAGTGGCTGCTAAATTAACTTGGGCATACTGCACAAATGAACGTAGATTGGCCTATTGTTCCCTTGATTGCTCTGTAAAACAGTAAAGTTATATTTCCTGATTCAGAGGTTTGAACTAAAATGTCCTATGGGCAAACAAGGGAATTTTGGTAACAGGTGTTTTGGCTCTTTAAAGTTTGGAGCTGATTCTGTCATCTTACCAGTAAGCATGTTTTCTATGGTATATCAAGTGATGCATCAAATTATGGTAACAAAAGTATGTATCCCATAGCTTATAAGTACAGTACTTTGATTTGAAAAATGGAGTTGCAGATATCTTCTTGATTTCTAAGATTTTAATAAACTACGAAACATAAAACACACTTTGTTCTTCTATGCATATTTGGCATATTATGGAAATGTAAATTTTGACAAATTTCATTCAGTCCATAAACTTTTTATCTAATGAAAATGAAAAGATTTTACCTGATAAATGTCATGTATTCCCTCTTCATAACACTGCTAAAGTGGATATGATTTCCTTGCCTCTGATATTGACACGTTCACAATGAAAGTTTTTGGTCACTTTTTAGTTTCCTCAAAACATGGAGAAACACTTAATGAGATTTTTGACATTATAAAAATATCAGGAGATAACTTCCTTAGATGTGTGTCTGCAAGGTGGCTGTCAGTTTATCCAGCTGTAGGAGAGATGCTACAATGTTGGCCTTCAATAAAATCATATTTTTAAAGTGTTAGACAAGACAGAATGTCCTATAACTTGAAGATACTTTGAGAATGAGAGTGGAGAAAAGGATTACAATAAACAGAAATTTATGTAAATTTATCTAAAACTGGTGAATCATCTTTGAAGAGCCAAAAAGTGCCTAGACAAGGATGAATTGACTAACCTGAGTTGTTTCCTGTTATGTGTAGGCAGTAACAAAATCTCAAAGTGAACAAAATGACTCATTTAAAAAAAAATAAGACTACTGGAGAATCAAAAAAAAAAAAAAGTCACCCAAATTAAACAGGATTTTCTGTTTCTTTACTAAAACTGTAATTTATTTAGAATCCAATTTCAGTTGTAAAAGTATAAATTATCTGTGTTTTAAGCCATTTTTCCGGAGAAAGAGAGATTTAACTTATGATGACATTTTTATTCTTCAAAGTATTTAAAAATGGACATTTTAGACATGTATGGCCTGTTTGATGGATTTATATATGCCAAGGACGTGATTGACAATCAGCTGTTCTACCGATCAAACAAGCCATACATACAAAGTCGTTGTACTTGTTTTTTTGTTTTTGGTTTTGGGGTTTTTTTTTTTTTTTTAGAACTGAAAGCAAATTCCTATAGATATAAAAACCTGCTGTTTTGAGTAAACAAAACCCCAGTTATTGCATGCTGAAATTATTTTGTTGGAAGGATATTTAACTTGATGTCATCATATTGGATTGACAGAAATTGAAATAAGTATGAATCTGGCCTGAAAAGAGCAGAGCTGAAAGTCAAAGTAGATTTTATGTTTGGCTGTTTTCAGTTGTAACACTACCTAAAAGGAAAGGTTGTCCTAAAGGCTGTAGGCAACTCAAAGAAGTATTATTAGAAAAGGAAACAGAAAAAGTAAAAACACATTACTGCATTATGGAACAGATATAAAAGACATTGTTTTTATTAAATATAATTATTTTTGTAAGTATATTCTGCTTTTAAAAAGTATTACACTTCTATATTTTAATAATAAAAAATAATATAATTTACAAAATTTAAATACCCAGTGAAGAGTTTTAAAAATGTTAGATTACTGTATCAGAGGACAGAAACATTAGAAACTATTGTTACATTTTTCTAACACAGATTATTTGGTTAATTAGTTTTGTTACCACTAATTGCCACTGTTAATTAATTCTATTGCTTTGTTTAAATAATCACATCCGTGTAGAAAGTAAAGAATAGATTAACAGGTAAGTACTATTTTTATATTTTTATGTTAGAGTAATACGAAATGCATATAAATATTTATTCTGTATTACTTTTTTTTGAGAGAGGGGGTCCTGAATGGTTGTGTCCCATGATGGCTCTCTGAAAGTGCTGGTTATCCTACACCAAGGATGTGGCTTAATCCAATTCTGTGTATTTGAGATATACAAGAAAAATTAAAAATTAAATAAATATAAATATTATTTTCAAATTTGTCTTTTTATTTCCTAGTTGAATTTAGTGAGCTTAGAGGGCAGATGAAAGGGCAAAACCAACTGACATCAGTATTCCCTTCTTATCTTTATCACATACAAGTTGTTTTGTTCTACTGTTCCTATTTCAGGGGACCCTCCCCCAAAACATACAACCTACTTGGGTTTACTAACAAGAGTGTTGAATTGACAAGGCAGCATTAGACGTAATATGACTCTTTTCCTACACACTTATTGCTGTTTATTTCTTTTTCTCCTTTCTTAATTTATCTAGTAGATTCCTTAGACATTTTATTGGATAGAATAGAGAAATTATTTAAACAATGCATTTTTTGTTAGTTTCTCTAAAAGTTACAATCTTTAGCACTCGTTTACAGAGCCGTCAAAACTAAAAATTCAAAGGTTGACATGATGAAGTTTTTTAACATGCCTAGCTTTTCAGCATTTCTTTCTTTTAATAAAATAATTTTTGAAATTTAAAGTTCAGATTTTGTAGAATCTGTCACTTTATGTACTTTGAAATAGGAGTTCTTGGAACAAATTAACTTCTCAGATTTTCCCCCTCCTGTATCACATTGGAACTTTGCTGTAGCATTAGTTATAAAAACAAATTTAGGATAATGATAGTGTTTAAAAGCCCATTCAAAAAGATTCTGTAGTCAAATAAGTTAAATAGCTTATTCTTTTAAAAATTGTGTTAATACATATGTAGTAGTATTGAATACTAAACACTAACTCCTAATGACAGTGTGCTAGACACTATGCTATATGTCTTACACAGATCTCTTTTAGTCCTTACAATAATCTTAAATAACCTTATTTATGTGGTGTTATCTTCATTTTACAAATGGAGTATATGAGGCCTAGTGAGAAGTTGCTCAGCAAAAGTCAAGGATTAAGTCCATGTTTGTCTATCAGCCTGCTACATAGTGCGTGATGAAGAGAAACTTTAACTCTATTTCAGCATCTTAAAATATCAAGGTGTTATTTACAAACCAATGATTCTTATTTGCCAGTTACTTTCAATAATATGATCCATTATTAATTCTCTTACTATTGAGTCTTAACTTGTGTTTAGAAATTACAGAGATTATTCTGTTATTTTTCTGTTTGTTAGGCATCTCCAAGAGTTACTGTTGATGACTATTTAGTAGCAAAATTAGCAGATACTTTGAATCATGAAGATCCAACCCCTGAAATCTTTGATGACATTCAAAGGAAGGTATTATGTACAACATTTATCGTTTTATCTTTCTTGAAGAAAGTGTATATTTTTATGTGCATGTAATTAGTTTCCTAAAAAGATACTGAAACATTAAAAAAATAAGTACAGTAAAGTGGTGTCTAAGATGATAAGTTATGGCAATAAATACCTGTCAGTTCCAAAGTATAGACCAATTGTTTATTTATTTGATTGACCATTGATGAAAATCCTTATGTTGAGTTATTTTAGTTGAATCTGACTGAAAAGCCAGATATTCCAGTCTTAGAATTTGATAAACTGATGATGTTTAAATAACATGCTTCCCAAATTCATTTTAATAGGAGCTTTGAGCCTTTATGGGTACCTGTTTCTTAGAAAACGCTACTTCCTAGAACATTTTATATAACCTGCTGTCATGTGACTTGTGTTGCAGTAGGATCCTTTTCATTGTAATTTAGTTACTGGAGGGACCAGAAGAAATCATTAGTTGTGTTGTAGTTTTATTGCTGACATCTTGTAACTATGATTTATGGCAAGACCTCAATATAGCTGTTGGTGAACTCTTATTTAGTGAAAATCACCATATATATGTATTAATTATTGAATATCCTGATTTGTTTCTATAAGGTATATGAATTGATGCTACGAGATGAAAGATTTTATCCTTCCTTCAGACAGAATGCACTCTATGTGCGCATGTTAGCTGAGCTGGATATGTTAAAAGATCCTAGTTTCAGAGGATCAGATGATGGGGATGGAGGTAAGGTAGCACACGTTTTACGCACACATACATATATATTCCATGTATATTCTGTTTACAAAAAAAAAGACCTTTTAAATAAAATAAAAAATGTTTTTGTTGCCTAAATATAAATTGTAATATATTAAAAAGTCTGTAAATCAGTGACAAAGTTTAGTTACTGTACTAAGTTAAAATGTTGAAAATTTAAGAGCAGATTAGAATATAACTATAGAAGCCTTGACTTCTAAAAAGAATGTTTTCCTGAGATGGGTCACTCACATATTTTTATGGCAGTTTCCCTTTCAGTAGTAAGTAATAATATTTATGATTAACAGAATTATTGAGAAGATTAAATGAGGTAAGTAATGACTCGAGTGTACCCTAAACTATAAAGCATTATAAAAAACTACAGTTTTTGTCTATCTTTAATTATATCCTTTTTCATATCTGCATAGTGTGAGAGACTTTTGAGCTGGAAGAAACCACAAGAGTAATTTATTCTATCTTTTCGTTTTTTTAAAATAAGGACACTGAGACCTATTAGTATGGTATAGTGAAAAAAACAGACTTAAGTTTACTCATGTTTTACTACTTATCACCTGTGTGATGTAAATCTGGAATAATATTCTCATAATATCTTACCTCAGAGTTACTGTCAGATTTATGTGGAATTGTGGATATGAAAATGATTTATAAACTAAAATGCAAGTATCAGTTTGTATTAGTAAATAGTGAGTTATTTAAGAATAGTAGGAGAGACAGCCCTTAAAATACAAATCTCTAAATTCTTAGGCCCAATGACCATTTTACTTGTGATTCAATTCTGAAGTATTTATTAAAAAAGTCTAATTAAATATCTAGGGTTTTGTGTTAGGGTTCTCCAGAGAGACAGAAAATTAACTGTTATAGGTTTGTTGAACTTTCTGGTATGTTCTACTAAGTAAATGAGCAATGTAAATAAAAAAATGAGTAGGAAAGAATAGATTAAGTAATTACTTTAAGACAGTGCTTTAATTATGACCATTTACTGATCAAGAGGTTTTATGGATAAGACCACTTGGGAATGGAAATATAACAGATCTGTTGGGTAGCGAGCACTGCTTTAAAAAATACTTCTATTCTGGAAGATTCCAAGCCTCTCCTCTCTTCTACCTCCTGCCTCTCTGCCTATGCTAGTGATATTTTATTTTTAAAACAATCTAAGAAATCTAGTTACAGAAGTTTACATTCCAGTTTTAATCACTTTTATATTGATTGTTGATCTGATACCTTAGGTTTTAAAAATAATATTTTTTTCTGAATTATTTGTAAAATTGAATAATTTTAACTGGATTTGATTGCGTAATTAAGGAAGTGTTTAAAAAAACAGAGTACTTCTGTGGGAGCTGAATAGTAAAATTTAATGTACCTCTACTTTATTATATAGTATATCTGTATTTCCTGTCTGTTGAAAAGTGTTCTTTTGTAGAGCTACTATGAAATTTGCAATAGCCACTGTATATCAGCTAATCATCCTAAAATGATTATTGTAAACGTTTCTTTTTATATTAATATCATCTCTTTTAGAAATTTCTTAGTATTTATGAAATGGATTTGCTGTATGACCCAGAATGAATGCAGATAAATTGAGTCAGAATCAATTGTGTGAGCTTCTAAGTAAAATGTAATTTAAAATGGAGATAGTAGCAATATATTATGTAGGAGTAGTTTTTGATCCTATAACATAAGACCTCTTCCAAAGTCTTTTAAATTGACTTTTAGCTTCCATTTATGTCTTTTCTGCAGCGAATGGAAGCAAACTATGATGAGCAATCTCAAATTTCCCAAAACCTCATAATTACATAAAACATAAAACAGAGTAGAAAAGTTTTTTTTTCTGGAACTGGTTTTGATCTGAAGTAAATGTGCTTCTCATAAATCAGTCATTGAGTACATTTAAATCACTGATTGTAGTTTAGAATTATATACTTATATATTTTATTGTCTTTCTAGGACATTGCTTTCTAACATTTTATGTCCTAAGTGATGAGTTTTTATACATCTTATCCTGAGAAATTACCTATCCCTTTTTAAAAACTGTTTGACAAAATGTATGTAGATTGATAGTTATAACATACAACCTTATTAAAAATAGCAGTCAGTGTTACTGTCATTGTCTAGGTTTTAGGTCATTGATACAACTTTTTTCAAACGGCAATGCTTATGATTTACTTCTTTCTATAAGATTATTTAATGAAAAATAGGCCTTCCTGACATTTTTTGTTATAAATTAGTTTTCTGACTAAAATTAAGCTTTTCAGCACTTCATGTATTTTTTAGGCATTCTGACATTTTGACTACTTTTTAGACATTCTGAAATAATTGTCTAGTCTATTTTTGAAAAATGCAGTGTATAATTGAACCTAAATTTAATGGCCCAAGTCTTATCATGTATGATAGTATCCTCTAGTGGATTTTCTTTGCTGGAGAAGAAATTTCATTTCTACTTATCTGAACTTCACTATGTAGATAGCTGGATGGCTTTCTTGTGCGTGCTCTCTCTCCTCCCCTTCTCTCCTCTTCTTCCTTTTCTCCCTTTCTCTTTCTCTTTCTTATTCTTGATTGCTTTCATTTATTAGTTCAGCTTTAAATTATTTTAAAAGTAGATTTTTCCTCTTTATTAAAACAAGGCCTCACAGTTTTATAAAAATATTTAAATTATGATTTCCTTTTAAAATTTTAATCTCAGTCACATTGTTTTTCTCACCAATTCAAACAGTACTTTGTTTTCTAATATTTATAGGCAGTTATCAAATTCTCGATTAAATGTGGACCAAAATTGATTTTAGACTTTATTTCTGGAACTTATGATTATTATAGATCAAGAAAGTAAAGTATGCCTTATTTTGCTCCTGAATTATCCTTTTAACTTGACTTGTCTTTGGTGGGAAGATTTAAGAAGTGGGCAGACCACAGAAGAGGTAGGAGGCATGTAATTGATTAAAGAGGATAGAGAACCGTTTGCTACTCATTTTAATTATCACCTTTCTATTAACCAAGGGATAATTCTAGGTGAAATTTTCTGTTTACCTTGTGAGAACCCAGCTCTGAGGAACCAAGAAAAGTTATTGGGCATTTAGAGTTGTTTAAGTTGGAAGGCAATACCAGCTGCCTCCTTGTAAAAATAATCCAATCTTGCATTTTAAAGACCCATTTAGATTAACAAATTTATAAGTAAGCTCTTTAGTGCTAAAAACCATACATTAACTTTATATTCTATATGAATGTTGCTTTACCATAGATTCATTCGTGTTTAAGAGGGACACCTTAATTGGAAACTTAATTTGCTTAGATATACAATAAAACCCTGAGGGAAAAGATTATTGCTTGACATTAATTTTAATCTATAATTGACTTAGTCTGTAACATTAATTTTAAAAATTAACCTTTTCTAGTTGTTTTTTAATTCAGTGGCTTTGAATATGGAATTTTAAATATCTTTTGATGAATTAATTTAATTTAAAAATCTAGACTTTAGATTGTTTTTGAGCCAAATCTACTACTAAGAATAAGTAGACTTAATCCATCACACTGAAGACAAATTTGTGTTATTTCTTAATCCAGTGATACAAAAATAACAAAATAGTGCTGATATTTCCCAGTGGGCTTCATTCACTCTGCAGTGTTTTCCTTATGCTTACATTGTATTAGGCAACTTAATATGATACTATGAGAATAAAAATATTTAATAATGGCTCTCCTGTACATGAATGCCCCCCTTCTGGTTTTTTTGGCTAGCTCTCAGTTACATATATATTTTTACTGAAATGCCAGGCTTGGAAAATCATAGGACTTAAAGGATTAGGAGTTTGGGAGTATACCACAGTTTCTTTTTTACTTTTCTGCTAATGTCTTGGCTATGTGACTTTCATTCTTGGTGTTTGAACTTTAGATAAAGCAATCATCTCAAAAGTTTTTTACTGTATACTAAGTTGAATTTTCCTCCTACAGAATCTTTTAATGGATCTCCTACAGGAAGCATAAATTTGGTAAGTACTACAAAGGGTACTTTAATTATTAAGGTGACTTGAAAATAATGTGAAAGGCTGAGACTTGACATATGTAAATAAATGATATGTTTACAAGCCCCCAAATCATCCTTTAGTATTATAAGAAATTATTATGCTTTTGAAGAAATGTTAAATTTGCATACAAGGCATCTGTCAATTAGAACTTAAAAATATTTCATTTTTATTTTAAAGGATATGTTTAGGTCACACCTGCATAATTGCAGTTGCATTTTATAAAGAAATTGATTTTATTATTTTCAGTTTCAATATTTAGTGTGTTTATATGACTCTTTGGTTAGTCCTATGATAGGCAGTAAATCTGTTACACATAAATGATTACATTGGAATGGTTTTTCTTCTCTTGTATTTAGAAAAGAAATATAAAACCAGTTGGGATAACCAAAAGCTTCTGGATGCTTCTTAAAGTCTACACTAAAATAAATTTAGGTCATGTAAAAAAAAATTTTTTTAAGCTTACAGAGTTTTACAGCAACTACACGACATGTTTTTAGCATAAAAACTGTCATTGGCATTTCATATATTCAGAGTGAAGTGTGAAATAATGAACATTTTAGTTCTTTTATATATCCAGCCTCTCCATTGAATAGCTTATTTACTAAAATGCTGGTAAGAAGAAATGTTAGTGTTCTGTGAAGGTTTTAGTCCAGAGTTTGACTGTGTAGAAGGGAGGGAGGGAAGAGGTGGGGGATTGCTGTTTTGTTTTTCCCTCCACCTACATTATTTTTTCTTTTAAACCTTTTGAACCTTTTGTAATAGCTAAATGATTTAGAGGTTCATTGTCTTATGTTGTCACCTACACTTATTTCTAAAATAACCTTGAGTAAATGTTCTGTTACTAAACAAAGTATAAACGTTTAGCAAAACATTAAAGCAAATCAACAATAGTGTTATATCAGATGTTCTTTAACTTTTAAAAATCACACAGCCCGTGCTCTGTCTAGCACACACCAAAATTTCACACTCCCAGTAGGAAGACAGGTGTTCAGCATAAACCACGTTGTTTGTACATACAATTTAGGTACAGTTAAGCCACTCTTATCAATTAGAGAATGGTGGGATTCTCTAAATCTCAGTTCCTAGGTGCCATCCAAGGGACAACCTTGCAAACAGTCCTTCCTAACAAGAGCAGTTTTCAGGTTGCCATGTTAACTTTCTGTGCACATTCTACTTTTATTATCTCATTATGTTCCCTTTTATGTATGTGTGGGTGTATGTGTATGTGGAAAAAATGATTTTTAAAATCTAGACCCAAAGCCCAAAGATTTATTTTGGGTCAATCAATAATCATTCTTGTTTGTGGAATTATTTTTGAAAATTAATTATTTAAAATATATCTTAGTCTACAGATCATGTCACTTAATAAGTAATCATAATAATAGCTAACATTTGTTGGAGTAGGCAGTTTTCAAAATGTTTTTCTCATTTAATCCTCACATAACCCTATGATGTATGTACTCTTTTCACTTAATACATAAGGAATCTAAGCTAACTAATGAAATTATTTCTAAATTAACAAAAGTCTTAAAGAATACAGAGCTGGCTCTAGTATATTCAACATTTAAAAATTAAAGTATTAACTTAAGAATATGTCTATTTTTATCCAGTTTTTTCTTGCTATATATTGAATGTAATTGAAAAGTAGCAAGTTACAGTATATGGACAAGCAATGAAGGAAGAAATAATCTGATATATTAAGTTGGTTACTAAATTATTTTGTTTATAGTTTTTAGCAGTGCTCAATCTTGTTTTTTTTCTCTACTGTTAGTATAAATGGAGAGGATTATTAAGGGGGAGTCTGGAGGGATGCAAATAATATAAACTTTACATGGTGCAAAGATGAGTAATGCATGTATGCTGTGGAAGTTCTTTAATATTTCTTTTCTATAAAATTAAAAAATTTTGTTTCCTGATTTTTTTACAGTCTTTAGATGACCTTTCAAATGTATCTTCTGATGACCCAGTACAACTTCACGCTTATATTTCAGATACTGGTAAGAGATTTTGTAGTATAATTATGACTTTAAAACTATTGATTATTATATCCCTAAGTTATTTTCTGGATTTATTTTTTCAAACCATTTGTTTATTTTGTAGTCATTTAAGTTACTTTTTTTTCTGGAGCATGTTCTTCATTAAATTCTGTAATGTTTATTTGCTTGTGTGTTTGGGTATTTCCTCTCTCTAAAGTTGTTACTGTTAACAGTTGAAAATGCAGATTCTAAGCATTTTGTCGTTTCTAATAAGCTCTGAAACCGATATTTTCCTTTTTGTACTTGAAAATGGCCGATAATTGTCTGCACGATTCTTATTAAATCTTTTTTGGGGAGATGATTTTTTTTTCATACATGCAAAATCAGACTAGATAACTGGGGAGAATGAAGCCTCTGGGTATAGGAATTTGAAGAAGTTCAAAAAATACTTGAATGGAGTGAGAAACCTTTAAATCTTGGTGATTCAGCCTATGTGCAGAATTGATAGTGAACCAAGAAAAAATTTCCATCATTGCCATTGCGTTATTAGATAAGGCTAATGAATATTAGATAATGATAGTTTCTTCTCATCTGGCCTTTTACTAGTCCTAGAATATCCTAGTCTGTCTATCATATTAAGTACTGAACTGTGAACATACTGAGGCATACACCTCAATTCAATTTCATGCTTGAATTTCAGAAACTGAAAGGAGATTTTATAGTATAAGTGTACTTTAACAGATATTAATTTGCAGTAAAAAACATCCTTCTTTCTTTTTGCTTCTTAGTGGAGCTGGGGTCTCATTTTTGCAATCTGTTCCCTGCTACGTTTCTGGAATAAATTATCTATAATTGCTGACTCAGTTGTTACTTTATTTTTTACATATCGTTGGTGCATAGATTACTCTACTCTTACAGGTCGTTAGGTGACACTGTTATTCATAAAACCAGAGGTCTTGTTGCTTTTCTTTCTAGCTTTTGATATAGTTGTCCCACTCTTTTCTTCCTCACATTTAAAAAAATTTTTAAAAAATCTCTATTTTCATTTTTGGCTTGTCTTCCAAATGTGAGAGCCTTTGTTAAAGTGGGAATGTTTAGTATTTGTCTTTTTATTTCTTGGAGATCTTAAACTTTTATATCTAGAGGAAGACACTCATGCCCACATTTCTAATCCTGATCTTTCTCTTTTCTGAGGGTTCTGATTTTTTAGCTGCTTTGTCCATTTGTTTATTCAAGAAGTATTTATTAGCTTCTTAAAATGTATGGAAGCTCTGTGCTATGCATTTTTAAAAAATTGTTATTTCTGTCAGACACACTTATGCATAGATACTGAAGAGGTAGAGGAGTATAGTGGTTAAGAGCACAGCATTTTGACCGAATTGCTTGGGTTCACCTCCTAGCTCTGCCACTTTTAATAGTTGGGTGAACTTGTGTGAGTTTCTTAACTTCTGTGTACCTCAATTCCTCATCTGTGAAATAGGATAATAATAATAATACCTACCTCATAAGGCTGTTATGGAACTAATTATTACATTACTAATTATACATGATAGGCATCATTTATTAGTGTTTGTTCAATAAATGTTTATTTTACCAATTAGACTGCAGAGTCTCTGATTGTAGATCCCACGTCCTTAACATCTCTATTACAGGAAGTAAAAACTTAGAGTCTAGTGTAGTGCTACTCAAAGGTTGCTGGATGGACTCTGGTGTGTACTGCTTCCTTCAAGAAGTCTTGCTTTAAAAAGTATTGGCTAGATTAAACAGTGTAATTAGTGATGAGGTTGATTCATATTCTGATACTAGTTTCTTACCTAATTATGGACTAGTAACAAATAATTTGAAGATTACCTGCTATGAGTAGCCTTGGTCTAATGAAAACAAAACCTTCTAGCAATATCACCACTTTCTCAAAATTGGTATGTTTAACTTCATTATCTTCTTAATTACCTTTCTGTGTTCTGCATTTCTTTTATAATAACTTCATCATTCTTCCTGTTGTATGTGCAACTCTGGCTGATCTCCCCTGCCTATCAATTTGTGACAAATCCTGATTATTCTTTTTTAGAATGCTTTCTTACATTACTTTATTCTCTCCTTTTCGATTCCTTGTTGTTCTCCTTGCTCTTGTTAACTCCTAATTGGTTATGATTAGCTGACTAATTGGCCTCTGCTTTCTGTTTTCCTTTCCCAAACCTATGTTGGACACAACTGATAAAACCATTTTCTTGTTGCCATACTAACTCCATTGAGAAAGTGTGGTTTTCTAACTTGATGAAAAAGTGTTGTGCTGTTTGATCTGCAGTGGTCCCTGAGAGAAAGATGATTAGAAGAGGTGAACTTAATAATAGAGCTACCTATAGTTAAAGCCTCTGTAGAACAAGATGATCAAAGTCTATTCCTAGTCTTACATTTTGTTAAATTAGAAACACTGATATTAAATGGAAAGGGTAGGAAAGACAAATTTGAGTAGAAAGTGCAAATCTTAGAAAAATTTTGGTAAAAGCCTGAGAGAGGTTTCTGGCCAAATACCCCAGCCAATATAGATTTTTAGCTTTTAGCTATTAAAATAATTTACTAAGAAGTGACACAGACCCTTCTTTGTCTAATTATTTATAACATAGCAAAATACTTACTCAGCTCCAAAACTTGACCACCTTTTTTTCCCACAGTTACAGATCAATATAATTCATTACTAGAAGATCAGTTTTAGACTTCCGGTCAATATGATAGTCTAAACTGCTATGGGAAATCCTGCCTTCCACAGATAGAAAAGCTGAAAACAATATAAAAATAGCCGAAAGGGAACATCTACAAGAGCCATAGACTATGAGGAAAAACAAATTCCAGAAAGTGAAAAGGCACTGAAGCCAAGGGGCTCTTTGTAGCATAAAGACTACTATCTTGATTTTGATAGCATTATCGTGCCCTTGAGTTTAGAAGAGGCAGGGATAGTCCAATGCCATTGGGAATATGGAACCAAGTCTTTTTCATAAAGCCCAAGGTCACAAAGGGCAGTTTCATGCAAAAGAGGAACTGGAAAAACTTAGCCAACCTTCAGTGGAAAGGACAAGAAATGTCAAGATCGTGATTGGAAATGGTATCTATCACCCATAAGATATCGAAAGCCCAGCTTGTATCCCCATCAAAAATGTGTCTGGATTTAGCTGTTCTCAAGTGATTGCATACCACAGGGTTTCAAGCCAGAGAGTTAGTTTTAAATTGTTTCTGAACCACTGAAACTAGTAGTTAACAATGGTGACACTGGTGACTGTGAGTGCTTCCATAGCCCAGGACATTCAGAAGGCCCACAGTGAAATAATACCTGTTGAAAATGAGATTACAGAAAGCAATTAAAAGCCACAGGAAGAAATATGAACCACAATAAGGAAGAGACAACAGACCCAGAAAATGAGAAATTTGTGCTCTAAGAACTTGGAGATGGCAGTCTTAATAGACTTTTAAATAAGTATGTTTAAAGTATTCATAGAGATAAATCCTAAGGCTAGAATAAACAGTATGGAAAAAAAAGAACCAAATAAAATTCTAGAAATCAAAAAATACAGTGATTGAAATTAAATTCAGTAGATGTATTAAGAAATAGACTGGATACAGATGAGGGGAGAGTTAATGAGAGAAAATAAGGTAAGAATTTTTTTCAGTAAATTTTTAGAAACCTGACCTAGGAGTAGAGTAGAGCACAGAGAAATAAAAAAATGGAAAATCAGAAAGAATAGTTAAATGATTCAAAGTGTATCTTCTTACTTAAGATTAGTACAAAATGACAAAATAAGAACAGGTTTTGATTTTAAAGACTACCTAACTTGGATGGTATGTGGCAAATCAATAGTAAAATGCTTTAAAAAAAAAAAATCCCCAGAATAAACTACAAGTAGTGAATTTTTGATATTATTGAAGAGAAAGAGAATTGCCAGAAGATAAATCATATCCTGTGTTTTTCACTGTTTAGTTGAAAAGATTTTAATTGAAATGTGACTGAATATTGAAGGCTAGTATACAAAAGGTTATTATTTTGTTTCTGCTATTTTTTCTGTATTAAATTTGAGAGGCTCTTAATGCTACACTCAGGTGGTGGTGTGGCAACATCACTAATAATAGGTAAAAGCTCTTTGGGAAGAGAATCCAAAGTAGACATCCACTTTGTGGTAGGTAGTGTCATTATAAACTTTTAGATCATTTTGTTTTTTAGCCATCATATGTAATACTTTGGGTATGTGTGTACAGAGGATGGAGATCTATTTTATCCTTTGTTGACATCCTTTTGTCTCAGTCTGTCATTTCATATTCTTCTTCATTTCACGTCGTCTTTTTTGTTTTTGTTCTTCATCTTCCTCCTTTTTGTGTCTTTTGTTCTTCATTTTGTTTTAAATGACTAGTATATGCTGACTATGACCCATATGCTGTGGCAGGCGTTTGTAATGATCATGGCAAGACATATGCATTATATGCCATCACTGTACATCGGCGCAGTCTAAACAATGAGGAGATGTGGAAAACCTATCGTCGTTACAGTGACTTCCACGATTTCCACATGAGAATCACTGAACAGGTAATGAGGTTTCTTAAAAGTTGTGTACTTCACGTTCTTTCTTGATTCAATTTTGATTCTGAATTGTTCTGAGGATGCTCAGATATTCACTAAAGTTAATGAAAGTAGGTAAGAATTTTTTGTATAATTAGTATAAGTGTTAGAATAAGCTTGGGCATGTAACCAATAAATCAAATGTTGAAAACTTTAATCAGTCCTAACCATTGTGGACTAGTGACAAAATATCAGTGGTGTACCTTAGAAAAGTAAAAATCAATGTGTATTTCTGATTTTAAAATTATTGTATGTGTGTGTTGTGCTTTGCCAGAGGTATTTGGGTTTGGTTTGAAGCAGGGATGGGGATTAGCATAGGACTTTTTCTGCTTTTGTTTTTTGGAGACATAATTCAGAGCTAAAGTTATTTTAAGAGGCAGCCTCATCCAACACTGTAACAGTTAAATCCTTGATCCATTGCTTAAGTTATTTTGAACTACAACCTAAAATACATTTTACATTGAACAAATAATGTTTTTAATTCTTACAAAAGACACCTTCTTGTGTTATATAAGTAACTATTAGGACTTTTAAGTATAGCAAATGTAAGTAAATTCTCTGCCCTGTTTTTTATTAAATATTTTATCTTCTCCTTATCTTAGAAAAAATTAAGTATCACCAGATGAATTGGAATAGATGATGTATGAAACTTGTTTTAGCTTTTCAGAGTCTTTGATACATTCAGGGTTTTTAGATATACAACAGATATTAAACAAATAAAGATAATAAAGGTGACATCTGATTGGGTAAGCTGAACCTTTGAAATGATGTACTACTCTGAAGCTTTGAAATTACATTGTACTACTTTAGAAAACAGAAAATATTTTTTTCAGTTAAACTAGTGGAAAAAATATGGTTGGTGTTATGGTATTCTTATTAAAATATTTTGTCAATGGAGGTAAGCTATTAATAGCTTTAAAATGACTAAAAACAGAACATTAGCACTTACTTTTGAAGTCCATATTAAAAGCACTATTTTGACATATTCATAAGGAAATTAGTAACTTCAGACACACCTTCTCTTCTCTTCTTATGTTAAATGATCTTTTCTTCACGTTTTGGTTGATTTGTTTGCAGAGGTGAAAGAATTTTCTGCCCCACACTGAAGAAATAATTGCTTTACTTTTTCAGAATATTACCTATTTAATATTTTTCTAAAAGCATTATCTCCTATATCTTTCTTTCCATTTTTACATTTTAACCAAACATGATCATTTTAATAATAATTTGAATTTCTAAGAGCAGTTTTATTTAGTTGCAAATGAATGGGAATTTGGTTTAATATGAAATTTTCTTTGTGCAAATAGTTATTTTCTTTCTGTTATTGCCTAATTTAAATGTTCTAGACTAGGACTGTAAATACTGTGTTTACATATTGACAAATATAAGTGAAAAACATGCTTTAAAAAAAAAAAGAAAAAACTTTGTTAATAGGACGATCCAAGCAGGGATCCCTTTTTAATATAGCACTAAAAATCAAATGAAATTGATATAGCACCGTTCCTTTTTCTAACAGTTTAGTGCAGGCGAAGTGGACATATTTTGATTTGATGTTTCTTATAAAGTCATAGTAGTTGTCATTACTGAAATGTTTAAATTGCTCAAAGAGCACTAGAAATTAAATACTAAGCTTGTAAATGAAAATTAGGTTTTAGCAAAAATATTTAGCATCTATAAATAAGACTTAGACTGTTTGCCTTTTAGTTCAGACTTTATTTTTTTAAGTTCAAATCTTCTACAAAATAGTGGAAGAAAAACATAGTGACTTGTAATTCACCAGTTGGTAACAGTGCACCTGTCGACATGAGTAAATGTTAATTCCGTAGAGTTCTTAAAGGAAAATTATTTTAGAACAGGTTTCATTTTATTTTCTTTGTGATATAAACTTTTTTCCAGTCTAAATATATAAACTATCATTTATTTTCTTTAAAGACTTTTAATAGTCTAATTTGACATTTTATGGGAATTTATAAAATTAAAAGAAAATAATTAAAATGTTGAATGTCATATGGTTTTAGAAATTGCCTGAAGTGCCCATTCATTTATTCACCAAGTATTTAATGAGCATTTCTTGTGTGCCTGCACTCTCTGGGTGCTAGGGATATAACAGTAAACAAGGTATACCAAATCTTTGCCTGTAGGAGCTTACATTCAAGTAGATACCGTGCATTTCTGTTTTATTGGGTGAAATCTATATAAGAATAGATAAAATACTAGTGATTTAAATGGTAATATTAAGTATTCAGCAAGGCAATTGACTAAAAATATGCATCTGTATATATAACAAATTTTGAATTCTTCTAATACAAGTTTCAAGTCTGCTCTTTAAATTTTTCAGTCATGTATTTAGGAATCTAACCCTAATATGTTTAACGTAGAAAGCTAAAATCTTTGTTTTAGAATGTCTATGATTTATATATAGTGTTTGAGTTCTTTGTAAACACTGCCGTATTCCTTTAATTTATGTGAGTTCTGTTTTGGTGAATTTCTAATTTCTTTTACAAGCCTTTTAAAAATATTTTCATGAATTTTTGGCATGTGAAATTATATTATTTCAGGGAATGGGTTACCTTTTGCTTGTACTTATAAATAATCCTTTAAGTGCCACCCATAAGATGGGTTAACATAGAGTATTAAATTTCCTGTTTTTCCCCCATACTTTTATTATAACTGTATTTGAGAAAACTGCTAGTGATTTATGTTCCTGTTGCAGACAGATAACTTAAAAAAGGAGTTTGTTTTGATAATTTAGATTTTAAGAAAATAACTGTTACTGTGGTGGTTATTTTTTTTCCTTTTTGTTAAGGTTTAATATTTTAATAGATATTGCCCTATTCCCTTCATATATTGGTTTGCTAGGGCTACCATAACAAAATACCACAGACTAGCTGGCTTGAACAAAAGAAATTTATTTTCTTAACAATTCTGGAAGCTAGAAGTCCACGGTGTTTGCAGGTTTGGTTTCTTCTGAGTTCTCTCTCCATGGCTTGTAGATGGGCTCCTTCTTGCTGTGTCCTCACATGGCCATTTGTGTGTGTGTGTGTGTGTGTGCGCGCGCGCATGTACACACATGTGCATTCCTGCTGTCTCTGTTTATATCCAAATTTCCTCTTCTTAAAGGGATACCAGTCAGATTGAGTTAGGACCCACCCAACCTAGGAGTCTTGTTTTAACTTGATCACCTCTTTAAAGACCTTGCTTTCAAATATAGTCACAATCTGAGATACTAGAGGTTAGGTTTCGCCATATGAATTTTGAGGAAATACAGTTCAGGCCTATAATACCCAGAATAAACTATGCATTCTGTAAAATTGAGTCAGTAGTTTAATATTATATGGATAAGTAATATTGGAAGAAATTAAATATCTTTTAGGATACCTTGAAAAAGTAAATGTACTTCCATAAAGTGTGCTTTTTTTAAAAAAAGAATTGAATTCATATAACCAGGTTCTCTCCGGTGGACATTTGATGTTTGATGAGGACCCATTTCTAACACTTTTGTGAATCACCAAATTCGTGACTATTACTGCAGCATAACATTTTCTCTGTAGGTTGCTCCTATGCTTTTTTGTTTTTCCTGACATGACTGGAACGAAAAAACTCCTTTTACTTTTTATATTACATGTAATTAATTTTTTCAAATTTCAGTTCTAACCAACCATGAGATTTGTCATTCTGTTTAATAATTTATCAGAATCTTTCAGTTTGGGGGATGGAAATTATTCTAAACCTCTTTATTTCCTCTTCTCTTTAATCTCCGCTCTAGGAATTAGTTATCTTTAGAGATGTTGTTGTTTTAAGCAAAAAATGTTTTTTATTTATTTATTTATTTATTTTTTGTCTTTTTCCGTGTCCGGCAACGGATCGCAACCCTCAGTGTTGCCCCCGTACCGGACCGGGGACCGGCAACGGGATCGCAACCCTCGGCGTTGCTCCCGCGCCTCGCTCAGCCAGTGAGCGGGAACCGGTCTGTATGTGGGATCCGAACCCTCGGGCGGGAGCGCCGCCGCGCTTCCCAAGCGGCGCACTATCCAGTGCGCCACCGGGCCGGCCCCGCAAAAAATGGTTTTTAAAAGGTTGTTTTACTTCAGGATATGTATCACATGGGAAAGCCATGAGGCTGCTTGAAGTTTCAGGCTGTTGGCCAGACACGGTCATTAGCTAAATGACACTCTTACACTCTTTTAGCAGCCAGCATAATTAATTTGTTTTTCAGCAAGGCATAGCAAATTACTATCATGGACTTTTGAAGATGCACTGACGTGTTGTCTGTAAATGTTAGACTTATAGTAAATACATTTACTTTGTGTTTGTGGCTCTACAAAGATAAAATATGAGGGTACCTCAAAAAGTTCATGGAAAAATAGAATTAAAAGATAATACAAATTTTTCCATGAACTTTTTGAAAGCCCCCTTGTACATGCTGATGGCTCTTAATTTTTTTCTTTAATATAAACTATGAGTTTATTTTTCATGTGGTTGACTGGGAAGGATATCAGTGCTTACCGTAGTTGTATATATACGAAGTTGTAATATAGCTACTATCTATATTTTGAAATTTTCTTTTTCTGCGTTTGATAATTACCCATTGCAATGATTAATTGATTTGAAGTCATAAGTAATAAAAATATTACTTTATTAGATTTTTTAACAAGCCAGGAACTCATAGCTTTGATCATTAAAAATTTTATTTGCCAATGCTTTATTTACAAGTCAAGAGTTGTTAAGCAAAATATTTCTTAAAACCTTTCCTTATGAAAATTTTGAACAATCGCAAAATTAGAAGCTGTTAAAATGAACCCCCATGTTGCCGATACCCATCTTCATCAGTTATTCATGTTTTGTCATTCTTGATTTAAAATACTTCTTTATAGTAAATAACCTTAGACTATGTTTTGGAGATATTTGGACAATAGATTGTTCGTGATTTTTGCTTAATATAATAAAATATATTGTAAAATTATCTGTTGAAGATGCTTTTCATATGTAGATAAATTGTCATTAGGAACATTTTTTTCCCTGTTTATAAAAAACTGAGAAAGACAATTGAATGTCTTTTGTCTTATAGTTTGAAAATCTATCAAGCATATTGAAGCTTCCTGGTAAAAAAACTTTTAATAATATGGATAGAGATTTTTTAGAAAAGAGAAAAAAGGATTTAAATGCATATTTGCAGGTAAGTCCATGTTTATTATTGCCCATAGAATTTCATTTAATATAGCACACAGATAAAGAAGTCCACTTTTGAGCAGCATGTCCAGTGTGACATGCAATCTTCTCACTAATTTATAAACATTATTTGTTTTTATTTTTGGGGGGGCTGTCCATTATGGAGATCCAAATATTTATGTATTTATTGATTATTTTCTAGACACTCCATGTTAAGGATTTTGCTTCTTCATGTTTACAAAAATACACACAGCTACACATACATACATATTCATGCCAGAGTACTGTAAAGTCTAAGTGTTTAATTATAGGCTAAACAGTTAAATGTTTCCAATTTAATAAATAGTAGCTTTTCATGGTGTATCAAAAACTAGCAGGTTTTTATTCGCAGACAAATGTGTGTAGCTGTCTCCTGTGGCCTAGAATGATTCTAAGGCTTCTAACGTTACAATTCAAGAGAGGAATAGATCTGAGGGACTAATTCTAATGTGTAGCATATTGGGCATATGGTTTTCTCTTGTGGAATAATAAAACATGTCTCACAGGTGACTTATTGCATAAAGTTTTAGGATCCCCAGAAACTTTGTTTTAGACCTGGCTACCCAGATGCCAGATATAATATCATCACTTTTTAATTTTTATACTGATTTGTGGTTTATAAAGTTTTCTCATGAAAATTAAACAAGGCATCACTTAAGGTTTATAGTGTTCCACTATTTAGCTCCCTACTTCTCAGCAACCTGTAGACTGCAGACCACTTCCAGCCTACCACCTGTTTTTACTAAGAGTTTTATTGGAACACAGCCATCCCTTTCATTTACTAGCATCTATGGCTGCTTTTACAAACAGCAGAGTTGAATAGTTACAGCAGAAACTCTGTGGACCATAAAACCTAAAATAGTTACTGTCTGGCTCTTTACAGGAAAAGTTTTGCTGACCCCTGACTTAGAATTTAGTGACACGTGGGTAATAATATACTGGATATTTTGTTTGGAAAGTTTCTCGCTCTCCCTCTCTCCCTCTCTCAAATATTTATAGCTGTGACTGGGTTTGTTTGTAACCATAACTGTAATTATGTACTGAAAGAATCTAAATATCTGCTCTTGTTCACCTTTGTTATCTTTTGGTTTGAAGCTAAATGTCTGATAGAATTCTTATGACCCTCGTTAAACATTTTGATTTTTGAAAAAGTACTGTCTTCAGTTCCATTAAAATGTTTATTATTTGTTTTTTAGATTTAGAAAATGACCACCTTTTCCAAAATCTGGTGCTGTAAATGTATCTTTTAAATGTGGCTGTACTGTACACTTTTTAGCTAAGGAACTTTATATGTCAAAACTTGTTCCATTGAAGTAAGCTAGAATGTTAAGTTATATCAGTAGCAGTTGCGAAAGCAGTATTTTGTTTGACTTACTTGTAGCACTTCAAAGTTTTTGTTTGGATTATTTTATGTACTTTCTATTTCATAAAATTTTATTTCTATTCAATATTAATTTTAGAATTATTATGTAAATATCATAATTTTCTAGTGTCGATCTTCTTAGTATAAGCTATAAGGCCTAAAATAGGTTAGTAAATACTTGGACAACTTTCACATTGGATTCTCTGAAAATCAAAATAACAGAGGGGAAGAATACACACCAAAGTGTTCATCATCGTAGAATTATTTGTAACGGTATAATTGGGTTTTAAATATGAAACTAAAATTATTTGCTATACATTCTTAACTTTTTATAAGGTGATTATAAAAACTAGTTAATCTGCAACACCTTTTTTTTTCCCTGTTAGTTACTGTTAACACCTGAAATGATGAAAGCTTCCCCAGCTTTGGCTCACTGTGTGTATGATTTCCTTGAGAACAAAGCCTACAGTAAAGGGAAAGGGGATTTTGCTCGCAAGGTAAGCAGACCATTACATTGGGTTTCTTTTTTGGTCTGTTTTCATACTTTGTTTTTTTTTTATTATTATTATTTTTTTCTTTTTTGTCTTTTTTTCGTGACCGGCAACGGATCGCAACCCTCAGTGTCGCGCCTGTACCAGACCGGGACCGGCAACAGGATCGCAACCCTCGGTGTTGCGCCCGCACCTCGCTCAGCCAGTGAGCGGCCTGTCTGTATGTGGGATCCGAACCCTCGGCGGGAGCGCCACCGCGCTCCCAAGTGGCGCACTGTAGCAGTGCGCCACTGGGCCAGCCCCCATACTTTGTTTTTTAATAAAAGGAAATAAATTTAGATTTATATGTATGTTTTAAAACTAGAAAATTTTTATTAAGTGCTCTTTGGTGTGTTTATTTTCTATGATTTATTAAGCCTAATATTGATAGAAATATCTACTATTTATAAACTCATGTCTTTATATGTAGATTGTAATACAGCAGAAGATTGAAAGAGGAAAAAAAATCCTTTTGAAATGGTGCATTTAGAAAAGTTTGCCAAAGACAGATTGCAAGCTTTTCTTATCTTTTGAAGGAAATGTTTCTTACTGGGAGAAAATGTCTTTTTCATGGAGTAAGGATAAGAAAAGTGTTAAGTAGGATGTGTTCTGAAAGTATTTATGCCTCTTGAGTAAAATCTTTCTTATAGTCCTGTGCCACTTAGATGTTTTGGCCAATGATGGACCATATATATGATGGTGCTCCTGTAAGATTATAGGTGTGCAGTAGGCTATGCCATCCTGATTTGTGTGAATACACTCTATGATGTTTGCACAACGATGAAATTGCCTAACAATGCATTCCTTAGAATGTAGCCCCGTCATTAAGCGATGCACAACTGTATTTAAAATATTTTAAATGATTTAAAATAGTGTACAAGATCTATATTTGGAATAAGATCCTAGGTTAAGACAATAAATGATTAAGTGCCCAAATTGGGCAAGATTACTTAGTGGGCAACAACACAAGCTTTGAAATCTGACAACTTTTGGTTCATATCCCTGCTCTGCTATTAACTAGCTATGACCTTGAGCATGTTACTTAACCTCTTGGTACTTTAGTTTCCTCAAGAAACGAAGGTGTTAATCCTCATTTTAGAGCATTGTGTAAGTCAGATGAGATATTCTACGTATTACATTGCCTGGCACATAAATAGCCTCTGTATAAATGTTTACTCTTAGTGGTAGTAGCAGCAATAGTAGCAAGAGCAGTACAGCAGTTGGGGAAGCAGGGTGAAAGATATGCAGCAACTCTTTTGGATTATTTTTGCAACTTTTTGTAAGTCTGAAATTACTTTTAAATAAAAATGTAAAAAGAAAAAGGATGTCCCCACCATCCTCCTTCCATAAAAAGACTAACCTTTTTAAAAAAGATGAAGGAATTAACAATTGTAAATCTAAAAAGTTCATATGATTACTCTAGGATGTTGGATTTTAATGTCCTAATGTTTTTTTGTCGTTGCTTTTTTAAATTGAAGCATAATTGATTATACATATTTTGGGGGTACAGCATTGATTACCATCACCTGTGTACAACATATGATCAAATTAATATTATTAGCACATTCATTATGTATGACAAATCTTAATTACTCTTGGTGCCCCTTACCCAATGTCTTCCCAGCCCTCCCTCCCTTCCCCCATCCCATCTCTAGTAAACATAGATTTATTCTCTCATTCTGAAAGTTTAACGTACTATTGTGGTCTTTCGTCCCTCCCTCCAACTCTCTTTCTCTCCTTCCCCTTCCTCCCCTTCCTTGTTACCTCTCTTCACTCCTTTTCTTGCCTTCCTTCCTTATCCTCCCTCCCTTCCTTCATTCTTTCATTCCTTCCTAGCACCCACTTATGAGTGAGGACATGTGGTATTTCTCTTTCTGTGTGACTTATTTCACTTAACAAGTTTTTACAAGCTCATCCATGTTGCTGTGAATGGCAGAATTTCATCTTTTTCATGTCAGAGTAGTATTCCATGGTGTATATATACCTCATTTTCCTTATCCAGCCATCCATTGATGGACATTTAGGTTGGTTCCATATTTCGGGTTGTAGATAGAGCTATGATGAACATTGGAGGCAAGTATCCCTTCAACATGACGATTTCCATTCCTTTGAGTATATACCCAGAATTGGCATTGCTGGATCATATGGTAGTTCTATCTGTAGTTGTCTGAGAAACCTCCATACTGTTTTCCATAATGGCTGTACTATGTTACAGTCCCACCAACAGTGTAGAAGAGTTCTCCTTTCTGCACATCCTCACCAGCATTTGGTATTTTTGGTCTTTTTAAAAGTGGTCCATCTAACTGCCGTGAGGTGATATCCCAGTGTGGTTTTGATTTGCATTTCCCTGATGATTAGTGATTTTCAGCATTTTTTCAAGTACCTGTTGGTCATTTGTATGTCTTCCTTTGAAAAATGTCTACTCAGCTCCTTTGCCCATTTTTTAATTGGATTATATGTTTTTTTACTATGAAGTTGTTCGAGTTCCTAATATATTCTGGATATTAGTCCCTCGTTGGATGTATAGTTTGCAAATATTTTCTCCCATTTTGTAGGTTGTCTTTCCACTCCGTTGATTGTTTCCTTTGCTGTGCAGAAGCTTTTTGGTCTGATATAATCCCATTTGCTTACTTTTTCTTTTGTCGCTTGTGCTTTTGGGGTCTTATTCATGAAGTCTTTGTCTAGTCCTATTTCCTGAAGTGTTTCTCCTATGTTTTCTTTTAGTAGTTTTGTAGTTTCAGGCCTTATGCTTAAGTATTTAATTTGTTTCGAGTTGATTTTGGTATATGGCAAGAGGTACAGGTCTAGTTTCATTCTTCTGCATATGGATGTCCAATTTTCCCAGTATCATTTATTGAAGAGGCAGTCTTTTCCCCAATGTATGTTCTTGTTTCCTTTGTCAAAGATCAGTTGGATTTTTGTCGGAGATCAGTGTGTGAGTCAATTTCCAGTTTCTCTATTTTGTTCCATTGGTCTGAGTGTTTTTATGCCAGTACCATGCTGTTTTGGTTATAATAGCTTTGTGGTATAATTTGAAGAGAAATAGTGTTATGCTCCTGGTTTTAAATGTTTTTGCTCAGGATTGCTTTTCCTAATCATGGTCTTTTGTTGTTCCATATGAATGTTAGGATTGTTTTTCCTGTTTCTTGAAGAATGTTATTGGTATCTTGATGGGACATGGAATTCTAAGAGCATGGAATGTCTTTCCATCTTTTTGTATCCTCTTTAATTTCTTTCAGTAGTGTTTTATAGTTCTTGCAGAGATCTTTCACATCGTTAAGTTGATTCCTGGGTATTTTATTTTTTTGTTGACTACTGTAAATGGGCTTGCTTTCTTGAATTCTTTTTCTGCTAGTTCATTATTAGAGTATAAAGACACCACTGATCTCTGCAAGTTGATTTTGTATCCTGCAACATTACTGAAATTGTTCATCAGTTCTAAGAGTTTTTTTGTAGCGTCTTTAGGTTTTTCTATATATAGGATCATGTCATCTGTAAACAGGGAAAATTTGACTTCATCCTTTCCTATCTGGATGCCCTTTATTTCTTTTTCTTGCCTGGTTGCTCTGAGTAGTACCTCCAGTACTCTGGTAAATAGGAGTGGTGAGAGTGGACATCCTTGTCTTGTTACTGTTTCATTCAGGATGATATTGGTGATTGGCTTGTTGAACATGGCTTTTCTTGTGTTGAGATACTTACCTTCAATACCTAATTTGCTGAGAGCCTTCATCTTAATCTTAATGGGATGTTGAATTTTGTCGAATGCTTTTTCTGCATCTATCAAGATAATCGAATGATTTTGTCCTTGATTTTGTTGATGTGGCATATCACATTTATTGACTTGCTGCCTGGGACACTTCCCTTCCTTGGGCCTCCCTGTTGCAGAGGAGGAGCTTTTCATGCCTCTTATGCGGGTTGGGGAGAAATGGGGGGGGGGTAGGTTCCTAATGAATGTTAGCGTTTGTAAGTTGAATGCTTTGTTTCAATAACAAGTTGCAGAATGGTGAAAAAAAAAATTATGGTGCTTATGTGTGTATTTCATGATTGAAGTGACTGAGTTTAAAATTCCAACTTTAATCAGTTTTGTCAGTAGAGATGTATTCCAGTCTTCCATCTTTTTGATGTTTGTGTACCTTATTTCCTCTGTTTTAGGATTGCATCACTTTTAGGATAAACCAATAAATTGATAATAGCTTTTTGAGATAAAAGAAACATATTAATTGTACACAATTTTTTTTTAACCAATCCATAGGAGCACATATATATGTCCAAACAATTACGTAACACTTTAAAAAAAATTACTAATATAGTCTAAATATTCTTTTGAATTATTTCTGGCAATCCACAATAACATAAATTTTTCATAAATCATATTGGCAATCACCAGGATCATCTTGACCTCTTTTAGATTGTCAGAATAATTTTATGCATATCAAGAATTTGGGGTTTTCAGGTACATTTCCTTTTTTGGCTAAGTTATAATTTAATATTTTTTCCGTAATTATATTTCACTGGAAATTAAATAGCCATTAGAGAAAATCATCTGCAACCATTGTATCAGTGGCTATTCAGAGCTTTAAAAATAATACTTTTATAACACTTTAATTTGGTTGCACAATTTGTCCTAGTTTTGCAAAATCTATGAAACAATTCCTAGAAAGAGTAACTGACAAGCAGCTTTCCTCTGTGCACATAGTATCTTTCTATTCAGTTTTGTATAATGGTGTGAAGGCATTTTAATATGTAGTTAAAGATCCAAACTTCGGATAAAATTTCATTGTATGTGCTATTACCAATACAGATAACTGGGGTGGTATTGAATGAATAGACAGCATCTGTGTAAGTCAAGCTAAGTGTATACTTGTACTGGCAATCTGTAATTTACTCCTGTGCCTGGTAATTTGAAGATTTGTGTATTTGTTTCCTTCTAAACATCTATTATTTTAAGATAAATCCTGTTTTTGGAAATGTTATCATACCATGATGGACTCTGCTTTTATGCTTATGAAAAGTTTACTTCCTTCAGTGTTAGGTATCAGAGTCACCTGTGGAGGTTTTTCCTTTTCACTCTCACCCTAATCCCCTCCTAATAGGAATGCTTGGGCTTAACCCCCAGGAATTGAAAAAAAAAAAAAAAGTGTACACACCCATACACATACACACATGAGGGGTCCTCAGAAAGTTTGTGGAAAGGTTCATGTCATCTTTTAATTCCATTTTTCCATGAACTTTTTGAAGTACCTTTTGTGTGTTTTCTGTGTATGCATAAAGAAAGTCATTCTGTAGGTCTGGGATAGTGCACAAGCAACTGTTTTAAATTATTATTTTAAACAATTTATTAAATAGATTTAGGTTCTCTTATTTTAAGAGTATCAGTAGTAGTTTAGCCCCGTACCTAGATAGCATGTGAGATTCTGTTCAGTTAACCAATTTGTAAGTCATATTAGCTGAACTCAAGTTTCCGCTGGGAGGTATAAGTTCTATCTCTTGCGTGAACATTGCATCTTATTAAAGAGCTGGCAGTGTTTCCTCAAGCTGCACATTTTAAGTGTGATATTGTTATGGTTATCTCTCTTTAGAATTCTACATATGTTGTTTTCCCATGACTTAGCTTATTTATAATGTTTACAGTTAAAAACCACAGTGTTAAAATGATGTCCTGATTGATTTGAACACACTGTTCTGGTTAACCAAAAAACTACAGTATACAGAACAAGAATCACACACAAGCATGCATGTGCACACACACGAGAATCAGCCATAGGTGAGAATTAGCTTTGTCTTTTCATCTCTGTGTCTCTCTTCACCAGTGTTTTTCCAAGTCCATGTTCATCCTGGTTTCTGCTCTATGTTGTGCTCTGACCATATCCCTCCTAAGGTTGGATATTCCATCAAGCATATCTATAATATTGTTGGCTCAGCTTAGCCAGGAAGTAACTGAAATTCTCAACCTTATTACAGATATCTTGAAATTCACTTTTTCTTATTCATAATACTTATTTCACCTTTTCTAGTTTTTCTTAATTAAAGCATGAACACATAGAGTAAAGGAGTTTTGTCTTCTTACTATTATCTGAACATTGTCCTATGTTCCCTGTGCAGTGAGGTTCTGTTTTGTTACTACTATTATGTTTTGTTTTTTTCTTTTTGAATGGAACATAATTTGGTTTTTTTGGTAGCTTTTATGAGACTCTACACTTGCTGGAAAATATTCTTGTAGATTTGTATGACTTTGGTCTTGTGTTTTGTGGGTTTTTTCCTTCTTTTTTTTGTTTCTGTCTATTAAAAAATCTCTCCCTTCAGAGAGTCCCATGCGCAACTACTTTGGTTTCTTCAAATGTCTCTCCTTTTCTTAACCGAAATTATTTGACATTTGTACTTGTATAGTTAGAATATCATTTTTGCTTCCTGTCCCTCTGGAGATTTTTATCCCTTTTTGTATCTCTGGTCATATTTTCTTATGTAGTTTTTTAATTCTACTTTACTAAAATATGATTTACATATCTGATTTGCAATTTCTCTTTTTTTTTTCTTTGCAATGGGCTCTAAATTTCCTCAGTAGATTTTAATTGAGCATATAATGTATCTTTAAAATTATTTTTAAATAAATCTTAAATACTTGTTAGTTATCTCAGCTTTCTGTTTATTTTACCTGCTTGTTTTCTTTTCAGTATCTACTCAAAATAGGTTATTGTTGCCTTGAATTGTGGCACAAGTATATAGTGGCTAATTCTACTTGCGTCAATTGCTGTTTTTGAAAACTTTTTTATTTAGAATTTGTTTAATAAGGCAGCCAAAGCTTATATTCATTTTCTAGCAATAACCTCATGTCAAATTTTTAAATCATGTATGTGAGTGTGAAAATACATTTTTAAGACAAGCTGAAGACAACGGTTCTGTACTTTTAAAATGCAATTACATAATGTAGACTGGAAAGTTATTGCCTCTTTTATGTGTTGCATTCTGTATTTTCCCAGGCTTCTCAGTTAAATAACATATCTGACATAATGAGTTATGCTCTAATGTCTTTTTTCCTTTTAGATGGACACTTTTGTAAATCCCCTTCGCAATTCTATGAGGAATGTTTCAAATGCAGTTAAATCCCTTCCTGATAGCTTGGCAGAGGGAATGACTAAAATGTCAGACAACATGGGCAAAATGTCAGAAAGATTAGGTCAAGACATAAAACAATCATTTTTCAAGGTAAGAATTCATTTTCAGAAATGTCTAAAGCAAACTATTTTTTATGTCGACTAAGATGTATTGAACTCCTGCTGGATTTACTTTATTTGCTTCATCTCATTTCCTTACAAGGTCCTGTAGACATATAGTCTCATAAAGAATGAAAAACTAAAGAGAATAAATTCTTATCAGAAATGAGTATTGTAAAATTCAGTCACTTGTCAGTCTCTGCTATGATAGAGTTTTAAAATCCATTTAAAACAAATACTTAAAATTAGTAAAGTTAACATTTTTTGTACTGTTTTATTCCATTATGCCATTTTTAATCCTGTAATGCTATTAAGTTCAGTAGCAAATAAGCAAGTGCTATTGTGCAGATCAGTTATACTAATATTCCCTCAGAAAACATAAAGTCTAAATCTCCTGATTCACATGATAAAGTGACCATAACCACCAGATCAAAGGGAAGAAAAGTCCTTCACCGCTGTCAGTTTCTGGGGCCATACATTACTGTGGCATAGAAAAGTTTCCCAGGAAGCTTTTTCATTGCATTAGCAGATAAAAGTCCTGGACCAAGTAGTTTGTTGCATTCCAAATTTACATTTTTTATAATTTTGACATTGTTATTTAAAGTTGTGATCAAGGCTGTGGAAGAAAACATATAGCTATTAGAATTTTCTGTTTGTTAGTTCATGTTCGAGTGAAGGGAAAATATAAAAACACAGATAGATTTTCTTCAATGATAGAGACAACTCCTAAGATAGTATGCTAAATTATACTTTTCTATTAATTCTCATACTTTCTCTGATGTGTCATCTGTATTTCTAATTGTAGCGAAGTACACTGACACTAAAATGAGGATTGTCCAGTACCGGTTTTGGTGCTTACTACTCATGACTTTGTACAAAAGTTACTGAACTTTTCTAGGTTTCTGTGTCCTCACCAATAATGTGAAGGGGTTAAAATCAGTGATCTCAATGGTCCTTTTTGTGCTGACAAGTGATTTTTAGCTAACACTGGTTTTTCTGTCCGTCTTTGCCTATAACTTATCCAACAATTGATTAATTCCTTAAACCTGTTAACATTCTGTCAAGAGCTCTTTTATGGTGAAAGAAAGAAGATTTGAGTTCTGTTCCTTGGCTATGCTATTAACCATTTGGTCTTCAAGTCATTTAACCTTTCTTAGATTTAAATTCTTCTAAAAAGTATGGGAGTTTGACTAACTAATCTCCCCTCCCAACTCAAAAGTTAATCTTTTTTAAAGGAAGAAAAACTTTTTGGTAATGAAATAGTCACTCCTTTATATTTGATTTCAAAAATTAGATTGTTAAACTTTACCTATATTGAACCAAAAACCAAATCAAATGCTAGTACATTCGGTTTATTATTGTGTTGTGTTCTTCACTGTCTGCTTTAGTGTGTTCACTTTTTTTTTTTTTAAATTTAGATGCCTCCTTTAATTCCAAAGACTGATTCAGATCCTGAACATTGTCGAGTCTCAGCTCAACTTGATGATAATGTGAGTTGATTTTATTCTTGGTAGTATTCAGTTGCAACTCAAATAATACTTGGCAGATCTTTTTAACTTTTTTATGAAGTAAAATATGTATATGTATCATTATTGTGCACGTTTTATGTTAAACTTGATGAATTCTTGCAAAAATGAACATGCCCATGTAATCAGCACTCTGAACAAAAAACAGAACATTGCCAGAACTCCAGAAAGCCTGTCGTGCTCTCTTTCTGTCATGACCCTGTCCCCCACCAAGGATAATCACTATCCTAACTTCTTCACTGCTTTTAAACTTTATACTGTAAGGTATATTCTCCTTTGAGTCTGGCTTTTCTTTATGCTCAACACTGTGATATTCTTCCATGTTGTTTTGTGCGACTGTAGTTTCTTCATTCTTGTGGCTTTATGGTACAGTAGTTCCTTCCCCCTTATCTTCAGGGATTGTTCCAAGACCACAATGGATGTCTGAAACCACAGAAGATATTGAACTCTTTATATACTATGTTTTTTCTTATACATACATACCTATGATAAAGTTTAATTTATAAATTAGGCACAGTACTCGTGAGCTTTGGGATCATTATTAAGTAAAATAAAGGTTACTTGAACATAGGAACTGTGATACCAGGGCAGTTGTTCTGATAACCAAAACTGTTACTAAGTAACTAATGGAAGGGATGATTCACATCCTGGGCAGGACAGAGTGGGACAGCATGAAATTTGATCACACTACTCAGAATGTGCAATTTTAATCTTATGAATTATTTCTGGAATTTTCCATTTAATGTATTCAGACTATGGTTGACTGTAGGTAACTGAAACCACGGAAAGTAAAACCATGAAGGGGGACTACCATTTTGTAAATATAGCACAGTTTGTTGTTTCGTGAATAGTTTTCCTAAGAACATTCTAGCTCATGTCTTATGATTAAAAATTAAGGAACATTTCTGTTGGGTCTATACCTAGTAATTGAATTGCTGGGTCAAAGGGAAGGGAATGCATAAGTATAGTTTTAGTAGACACTGCCAAAGTTTTTTACTATTTTTTTATTATTTGTACCACTTAAAGAGCCACCAGCAGTACATGAGCCTTCCAGTGTTCAACATCCTGCCAATACTTAATATTTTTTGTTTTTAATTTTAGCCATTCTGATTGTATTTCATGTGGATTCACATTTCTCTGATGACTATTGAAACGTTGAACACCTTTTTCATGTGTTTATTGGCCATTTGAGTGTCCTGTCTTGTGTGTCTGTCTAGATCTTTTGCGCATTTTTCTGTTGTCTTGGCTGTCTTTGCCTTTTTGATTAGAAGTAGTGCCTTAGGTAATCTGAATATGTGTTCTTTGTAAGATTCATGTATTGCAAATATCTTCTTCCATATGGGCTGCTTTTGTATACTGCGTGAGGGTACTCCAAAAACTCCATATTTTCTTTTAATTCTATTTTTCCATGAACTTTTTGATGTGTGCTCGTATATGTAATCTGTACGACTGCAAGGTCACAAACATGTTTCCCATGATTTTTTTTTTAATTTTTTTGTTTTACCATGCTAACATTTAGATTTTCAACTCATCTGGGATTGATTTTTGTTCGTGGTTTAATTGACCCCAAGCACCATTTACTGAAAAGGCCATCTTTTCCACACTATATTTGTAGAGCTAGGGCTGGGTCTGGGGCTCACAGACCCCTCAAGCCCATTCACAAACCCTTCACATGCAGGTTTACAAGCTAGGTAACAGGAAAGAGGTCCTTGGAGCCGCGGTTGAAGAAAGAATAGTCTTCATTGAGCACACACACGTCTAAGAGCTAGGAAGTCCAAAGAGAAACTGAGCAGCTGCAGGCAGAGTCCAAAGAAAAAACTGAGCAGCTGCCAGCAAAGTAAACATGCTCTGTTTTTAGACACAAACTCTGCCAACCCAAGTTGCTGCTTCACACACTGAAGAACACACAACAATAGCAACAAGCTAAAAGTACCCCGGTGCCACTAACTCCACCCCCCTCACAACTTGTTTACAAAGAATGTGCTGCACCACCCCCAATCAGACCTGAGGTGAGGGGTCCTGACGAAACTGCTCTGTTCCTCACAATGCTATACTTCTCTCTTATTACATATCAGAATATCATATTTGTTTGGATCTCTTTCTGGGTTCTGTATTCTATTCTATTAGGCAGATTAGATTTATTTTAAAGTTATAATTACCTCCTTTCAGTTTCTGATTGAATTTGTTTATAGTAAACTATCTTAAGCAAAATGTATTTCCTTTTTCAAGATGATTTTAGAATATTTTATTATAAGTTTTGCTGGTATAATATCCATAACATTATACCTTTTGTTATGTGGTTTTTATCATTTAACTGTTTATTGAAATTGTCATGTGGTCCCAAACTTGTATGAATATATTTGATCAAAGAATAGAGCAGTATCTATTCTGACTCAGAAATGAAATGGGTCCCCCTCTTTCCCCTAGTTGGTTTAAGCTATAAGCTTTCAATTTGTGAAATGGAAGGTGCAGTAAGAAAATGTTTACAACATGGCAATGAAAACTGTGTAACTTGTGATTTTTTTTCTCAGTATTTAAATTACACTGTTGATAAATCCATACCTGCTTTTTACTTTATACATTTTTTTCACATCAAAGCATTCCCATTGTCTTCCTTTACTATTTACCTCATTAATTGAATATTCCATAATAAAAATATACTAACTTTTAGTTGTTAAAAGCTAAAGGAAAATTCTAGTAATTTAGTGAAATATATGACTTTTGTAATGTTAATTTAGTTGTGTGCTGGATTGAATTTCAGCTTCTTTTTCCTGGAAATACGTAACCAAGAAAAACAAATTATTCTGTGTATAGATTATGTTTTGTTCTATTAAATACAGAAAGATATTGAGAATATTTTATTCTTGTGAAAAGATGCATCAGAAAACAGGTAAAGGGTCTAGCATTTGCCTTATCAAACTCGTACACCCTCTACTAAAAATAAGACTCAAGTCATCTTTTCCTAAGACCATTATGAATCCATTTCGGAAGTTTTTTAAACTGTAGCTTTGGAATTTACACATCATTGTAAGATTATAAAATTTTGTATTCTGTCAAAGTCACTGTTAGAAATGTTTTTTTCTTTTTTTTTTTTTCTTTTGTCTTTTTCTGTGTCCGGCAACGGATCGCAACCCTCAGTGTTGCCCCCGTACTGGGGACCGGCAACGGGATTGCAACCCTCGGTGTTGCCCCCGTGCCTCGCTCAGCCAGTGAGCGGGAACCGGTCCGTATGTGGGATCCGAACCCTCGGGCGGGAGCGCCACCGCGCTTCCCAAGCGGCGCACTATCCAGTGCGCCACCGGGCCGGCCCAGAAATGTTTTTTTCTAAATTAGAATGAAATGTCAAGTTATGAAGGCTACAGTGTGACTTGTTCCCTGACTTGTGAGTTAGGACCAATCATTTTACAAAAGCAACAAAAATAGCCATTCATAGTAGATTGCTAATTAAAGTAAACTTATTTATATTTCTCCCCATATTGTCAGGTGGATGACAATATTCCACTTAGGGTAATGCTGCTTCTCATGGATGAAGTATTCGACTTAAAAGAGAGAAATCAGTGGTTGCGAAGGAATATCAAAAACCTACTGCAACAACTTATTAGAGCTACATATGGCGATACTATTAATAGGTACCACTCCTACCCCCTCTGCATGTCCCCCTTTCCCTCCAGAGTCTGATCTTACATAGCTTTTAAAGTTGTACTTCTGGAAGTAGATTGCTCAACCTTTATGGGATAATTTCCTTCTTTGGCTCTTTTAAGAAGATCATTAAAGCAGTCTGTTGCTGTAAGAGAGAATTTATACCCAAATTAAACTGCTTGCTCCATGAAAGTCATGTTTATTCACCTTCTAAAATTTTAAGCTTACTCATTTAAACTTTTTTACTTTCAGAAAAATAGTTGATCATGTTGATTGGATGACCTCACCCGAACAAGTAGCTGACTCAGTGAAACGTTTCAGGTATATCTTAAGACACAGTCACTTCTTTCAGGTAGTACAGAGTTTAGCATTGTTATCCCTAATTAACTTTCATTGCTTTTCTTTCCTTCCTGGCAATAAAGTTGGTTTGAGTCATCGTTGCTGAGCAAAAAGACTTGTAAGAATTATAATAAACATTTCTCCCATGGACCTATTGATGTTTGTTTCTTTAAAACTAAAATAGAAAAGTATAAAGGAAAAATCTTTCAGATGATAAGCTGCATTTTATTACAGTCCTATGTAAGATAATTGAAATATTAGTGTAGAAATGGCATGGTCATGTAATTAAAATTGTAGTTTCGGAATTAGTTTTTCTCAGTTGTATTTGCTAACTTTGATTTTAAATAAAAACTTAAAAATAAATAATGTTTAATTGGCCATAGTATAATTTTTTCTTAAGTATTTGCAACTTTGAAAAGAATACCAATTAAGCAGCATAGAAACTCTAACTTATATATTCATTTTACAAAAAGGTACTAGCCCCTCCTCTGAGCCTAGCACTTTGCTAATCGCTGATGAGTGAGAAATAAGATGCAGTCCATCCGGGAAAGCACAGATAGTAGAGAAATAAACCTCTTTTCTAAAAGTGAATATAAGCAATGCATAAAAGTTTGTGACGTCATGTACTTTGAAAGAAAGGAAGGGAAGCAAGAAGGGACCTATTAATATTGAACACTAGCTGTGTGCTTGGCACTGTGCGCAGTACATTATGTACGCTTTCTGATTTTATACTATTTTATGAGTTGTAGATATTTTCATCTCTGTTTCATTATGAGGAAATTGAGGATTAGAGAAATTAAGTAGTTTGTCCAAAGGCTCTCATGTTGAAAAGTGGGGAAGCTGTTTTTTCTAATCTGAAACTAAGTTTTTCCCCACTGTACCATACTGTTTTCAAAAGTTGGACTGCCTACCCCAGAATATTCATTGTATTTCAGGGTAAGTGGATGATCTTCCTCTGGAGTAGTGATTCTCAGCCTTGGCTGTACACTGGAATCACCTGGATAGCTTAACACATACTGATAACCTGGATCCCATCTCCAGGAAATTTGACTTAATCTATCAGGCAGAAGGACAGGACATTAAGATTTTTTAAAGCTTCCGGGTGTTTCTAACGTGAACGTTAAGAACAACACCTGGGGGAGTTTCTCTTCCTCAGACTCAATTTCCAGATGGAAGCTTAGTTATTATTTTCAACTTCTGCCATTGGACCAAGAATTAGGGAACAGGAATCAAGCACACTGTGAAAGCTAAGGAGAATGGGTTGTTATATGTGTGAAAGGATCATTGTAATAAACCCAGCTATAAGGTGTGGGCATGGAATTTAGTTTTATGTTGACTTAGTTATAAGGGGAGTGGGATGGCATAACTGAGGGAGATCAGCTGTTAAACTCCAAAGTATCCAAATTCAAGATATTGTGGGATTATATTTGGATGAGGTGTTCAGACGGCAGATGCCCACTTCAAATTTAAATGGCTTTGATACAGTCATCTATATAGACTATTTTGCTGTCTTTGTTAGTGTTTATGAACTGTTCTGGGGCAGAATTTATCTGTTGTTTTTCTTGTGTTTATCCTTTTACCCTCTAAAATTGAACTCTACAGTTAGTTGATGTTTGTTGAATGTCATTATACCTATATAAAATTTCAGAAACTTTTCCTCTTTCTATTCACGTTTGCATTTTCTGTAGAAAACATTTTATCAACTTATATCATTAGAAAACAAGAATGTTTACAAATTTATTTAATCTTCTTAAATAGAGATGCATTTTGGCCAAATGGCATTTTAGCAGAAACTGTTCCATGCAGAGATAAAGCTATCCGAATGAGGACAAGAGTTGCAGGAAAAACTAAATTACTTGCAATTATGCCAGGTGAGTGAGCATGTTTGGTAAAAATATCATTAATTTATTGCTCTGAATTTTTGGCATTGATCATGCTAGTTTAGCTGCCTTTTGATTATAACTACCATTTGATGACTTAGTATATATCAGGCACTGTGCTAGTCGTTTCTCATATATTGTTAAGTAATCCTCATAACAGTTTTGGGAAGTTGGGCACTATTAACATCATAGCTTTATATCTGAGGAGACAGAAGCTCAGAGAGGCTAAGTAGCCTAGCCAAGGTTTTGTAGCCAGTAAGTGCAAATTGGGATTCTGACTGAGCTTTGAGTGACTTGAAAGCTTGTTAACCACTTCACTGTGCTGACTTGAAATATTTTGAAAGTAAGGTTGTTAAATAATGATGAAAGGGCTAATAGAATATAAAAAATGAGGTTTTCAGGAAGAATATTTGTTCTGCTTAGGAGAAAAGACAGATTACAGATTCAGAGAATTCATTTACATAGAAACAACTCCTTGGTCCATTATTAATTTTTGTTAATCAAAACAAAATCCCAAAGAAAGTATACATGGTGGCATTTTGTTGATTTAAATTGTGTTACTTCTTTAGTGTCCCATTTGTCTTCCCAGTAAGAGAGGTTTTCTGTGGCTGGGAGGAGGGGGTGGTTGTTTTGTCCCTTCTTTGTTTATGAATATCTCTGAAAACACCTAGATATTTTTTCTCCACATTTTAATTATGGAGGTACAGAATGGACAAGACATGTTTGTAAGTTTTTAAATATCACACAATACCTATTTCTCTTTCTATAATTTTGTTTCCTTATAATTTAAAACTATATTTTCATCATAAAATTTTAATGATCAGCTTTCTCTTTTGTCAGTTAAATTAGAAATTTGCCACATGACTTAATTCTGCCCTGCATACTGTTGGATTTGGTGTAAAAAGCAAATTGTAGAAATAACATTTTAGAAAAAGAATCATAACTTAGGATATTATTTAATATGCTATTAAAATAAAGCAGATTGTGCTACAAACAGAATCAGTTATGCAGCTAGAAGAGATCTTAATTCATTTATTCAGTAAGTAAGTATTTGTTGAAAGTGTATCATGTACCAGACACTGCTCTTTATACTTATCTTTGCCTTCTTGGAACTTAATTCTATTAGGGGACACAAAAAACAAAACAAATATATAAAACATAGTATGTTAGACAGTGGTAATTACAGATGACACTAGTGTGAAGTTCTGAAGGGAGAGAGAGTAGATACAAAAGTATATGATTTTACATGTACATAATCCCTTGCCTGTTTTTAGTATAAATTCACAACATATTTGCTTTAACTTGTATCTTTTGTTAGATATGGACCTTTTGGAAGTTGCATGTTTCTTTCTAAAGCAGCAAAATAATATTTATAATATTGGGGGCTTGATTATGAATAATTAACAATAATCGTACATGTTTGTCCCATACTTCAGTATGTCTAGTTGTGTTGTCAATGGGTAAATGCCAAATTTGCTCACCCTGATGGTCACAGCACCGTCAGTTTTCTATTCTCTACTTTCTGTTACAGGTATCCTAAAATTCAACCAAACTGTACCACCTCCATTTCTTGAGCATGCCTTATTATTTTTCTTCCTGCTCATTTGCTCATTGATGTTTTGTCCACCAAGTCTAATCCTTCATCTTTTTGCACCTTTCAAAATCCTGCCCCCAGTCCACTTCAGTTGTCACATCCTTGAAGAGAACCTTTCCTTATTATGTCATCTGGAATTCTTTGTATTGTAAAAATCTTTGTACTTTTAGTATTTTTATGGCCCTGTTACTATGTTGCAATTTTTTTGACATCATGGATTAGGTTTTTTTGTTTTTATTTTTTTTTTTTTGCTATGTTCCAGTAAAACTTTATTCATGATCATGGATTATTTTGTTTCTTTACAGCATTTTTCACTGTTTATTAGACATCGTAGGAATACAGTTCTCCCCTCTTATCCACAGGGGATATATTTGAAGACCCTCAGTGGATTCCTGAAACCACAGATAGCACCAAAACCTATACAGTTGACCCTTGAACAAAACAGAGGTTAGGGGCACCGAACTCCCATGCAGTTGAATATATGTGTAGTAGATTCGTGTGTATTTTATGGTAGTAAATGATAAAATAGACTAGTATCTACATATATTTTATACATTCATGACTTACCTTTTTCTTAATTTTTTTGGTATTTCTAGGTTGTATGGTTTGCTTGAGCCTTTTCAAATTGTCACATATCTCCAGAAAGTTTTCCCGTATGTTTATTGAAAATAATCCACCTATTAGTGAACCTGTGTAGATCAAACCTGTGTTTTTCAGGGTTCAACTGTATATACTATGGTTTTCCTGTAAATACATACCTATGATAAAGTTTAATTTGTAAATTAGACACAGCACTCCTGCACTTTGGGACCATTTTTAAGTAAAATTAGGGTTACTTGAACACAAGCACTGCGATACCGTGACAGTCAATCTGGCTACTAAGTGACAGGCAGGTAGTGTATAACAGTGTAGGTACACTGGACAAAGGGATGATTCACAGATGGAGTGGGGTGGTGTGAGGTTTCATCACACTACTCAGAATGGCACGCAATTTAAAACTTAGGAATGGTTTATTTCTGGAATTTTCCATGTAATATTTTTGGACCACGGTTTACTGTAGGTAACTGAAACCGTGGAAAACAAAACTACAGGTAAGGGGAGACAACTGTATTTGGATAATGTTTTAGAGTTTACAGATAACTTTTCACATCTCATTAAAGCCCCAGCTATAAGAATATGGGTTATTATAAATCCCTTTGTAATAAATGGGGAAGCAGAGTCAGGATAAGTATGACATGGGTATTAAGGGACAGGATTGTAACTGTAGTTTGGGATCTCTTGAGTCTGGATCCTATCTCTTTTTCCTATTCTGTATTGTCTCCCAGTATCTATTACATAAGTGGATGGGTAGATGTATGCAGGCAGAGGCAGACATGCATAAATTTTAACTCTCAGTTAAAATATACAGGTGAAATGCATCAACTGGATACCTGTTATTTATCAGTTACTCTGCTGTACACTTTACATACTTTATTTAGACTAAGAGGCCTAGTTTAGGCTTTGTGTTTTCTTTGTTTGAATAACGAATTATGTGTATTTTTCCCCTCTTCATTTAGATGAACTGAAGCACATTATTGGAGCTGAGACAACACGGAAAGGTATTCTTCGTGTTTTTGAAATGTTTCAGCACGACCAGTTAAATAGAAGAATGGTTTATGTCTTCTTAGAAGGCTTTTTAGAATCCTTATTTCCGCAGTATAAATTCCGTGAACTTTTCAACAGACTGCATTCACGGTCAAAGCAGATGCAGAAATATAAACAGAAACTTCAAACTACTCAAGCGCCTTCTTTACAGAAAAGGTGACACTCCAATCTATGAAGCTGGTGTTCATTTTGTCCAGGACTAATGGTATGGACAGATCTTCTGGGGCTTAACTCATATACTCTTGTGACTGCACTAGTCTTTTAGTGTCTCAAAATAGATTATTAATACATCCATAAGACTGTGGTTCTTCTCATCCTCATCTGTAATCCGGCCACTACCAAGAAAGATTTCCGTGTCTTAAATGATTTGGTGCATATTTTGCAACATTGAAAGGATACTGCCCCCATCTCAAGCAAGAGTGATGTTGATCTCTTCCGTTTCAAACTAATCAGCATTCTTCAGCAATGACAAAGTGCCAGAGTGTATATATGAGAGCTAAGGAAAGCACAAAACAATGGTTCGCAGAAAAATTGACTAATTTGTTTAGCCGTTGGAGACTGTGCAGTGTATGATTTGGAGGAATTTGTTTTGCCTAATGTTTTTGTAGGTCTGTGTCAGCATTTTGATGCAGTGTGGATTAGCCAGGTGAATGATCTTTGGAACATCAGTTTCAGGTCTGGGGAAAGTGACAGAATGCCCTTAAAGTATGAAATGACCTCATACCCGAATTATAGTTTTGTTACATAAAATAAATCTGAGCATAAAATAAAACCAATCAAAACAGAATTTGATTGGATTTGTTATTTATTAATATAAAACAGATTTTAATTGATTCTTATGTGCTTTAAGGGCTCTGTTTTGCTCTTATGGTACGCAATTATAAGTTTTCTTTTGGCATTCTTTGTGCAAAAAGAAGTGGTGGCTCTCATTTAAGTTTTTAAAATATTAGTTTTATCTTAACAGATTACTGATTATACAGAAGGGGGTATAATTTGTTGGAAGAAATACCAAATACATTCTGTTCTTCCAAAAATTTGAGCATTAAAAGAAAACAGTACTCTATTAAAAGTTACCATATGATTTTAAATTGTGTGATCTAGACTTGCCTTAGGTAACTGCAAAATAGAAAATCAAAGGATTAATGAGCTTATTAGTCATGTAAACGTACAAATTCCTAATTTTATTGCAGTGTACATATATGAAAATAAATAATGAAAACAACTATAATATTTTTAAAAATAGGCTTTTGTTTATATTTCACAAAATGTGAAATTCTACTCGTTAGTAGGCAAAACCCCTCAGTGTGTACATTTAATTCCCTAAAATAATTTTATACCAACAAAACAAAATATCTTTTCCGGTTTGGGAGCCTCTACATTTCCTAGTTTTCTCACTCTCCATTTTGTCCATCTCGGAAGTCTTCATATCCCTTGTATGCGGGGTTTCTGTATAGTTTTAAGTACTTTCATTGACTAAGGATTTGGGTGTGTCAGCTTTTTTTTGTTTTAAAAATATTTAACACTAAAACCTTAAAATAGTGAAGCTACTTATCAGACCACTGAGCCAAGATCCTGGTATTAAAAGAATGTCTGGGTGCTTAAGATAAAGGGACAGAGTATTGGTATCCCAGTTATTTGGGAGCTTTAAGATTGGAACAAGATGTTACTGTCTTGTTTTCTCTTAGATCCTACTTACAGAGTGAAGTCTATTAACAGAATAAAGCCTTCCTTTAAAGCTTTATAATAATAATCATATTTATTAATGCTGCTGTGCATACCTACAGTATGCATATATTCAGCATGTGCATGTTCTTCAGAATTACATAAATGAAATCCTTTTCATTGCAATGTGCAAGTGACAAAAGATCCTTAGTAGCTCTGATGGAAGAAATAATATTTCTTCTTCTCTGTGTGTGTCTCTCTGCCCCAGCCCCTCCCTGTGTCCTAGGCTTTAAAAGTGAGGATGTGTGAAACATATCTGTAGGAAGCATCAGCATGGCCATAAGTGCAATGTTTTTCATATATACCCTTGCCCATTCAAGTATATTTTTTGACATGAAGAAATCTAAGAGTATACAGAAGAATTCATGTAAGAGCCCTTTGTGTACATGTGAAAAAGCATTTCTATATAAATGTGAGGAACATTGGCCATCAGCCAGGGAAAGAAAGGTCATGTAAGATTGCAAATTTCCATAACAGAGCCCTGCAAGAAAACTGCAATCATACCAAAAATTATTTGATTAAATGGGTTTTTAAAGTAATTTTTGTTTAAAAGAGTTTATATTTCAAAAGCAGAAATGTCAGATGGTAGTTTATGTAAAAAGGTGGTGCATCATTATGCACATCTATGTTTTACATCAGAGAGTGGCATGGTCATGCTAAAATTAGAGATACTTTTTGAATGACTTGGTCAAATTGTGTGTAAAATATTTAACCCATAATTCAAATACAGTATACTATGTTTAATAAAGTTATCACATTTAATGCATTTATTGCATATATGAATATATACATTAAAAGGCTTTATGTCTTCTGATATTTGATTTTTGAATGTGTTTTTAAGTCAGTGGTGCCTTTAGGCAAGAACCTTCATAAATTAATCATTCTTTGTTTGGGTTTTCTGATTTTTCAGTTAACATGTAAACTATTTAGAAAACATCATAGTTTATTCACCTATAAAATTGATTGTATAATTTAAATATACCACTTAGATGAGCATTTCCTATAACTAGGGTGTTCTGAATAATTGCTGAAAACAGTTGTGCCATTGACCAATGGATGCACTTGATTAGCCTTAATTTTTTTCAAAGAAAAACATTAAAAACTTTCTTGAATATTTCAGTTCACTCATTTTAAGTTTGTGCTTCTGGGTGTTTGGAAAAAAATCAGTTAAGTGCTATCAGAAAGTGTACCAGTTTTTTAAAAATTAAGAACAATATAAATATCACAACCTAAAATTTTAGTTTTGTGCAATATTTTTGTTTAATGCATGTGTATTTGAGTAATTGTAAAAAAAAAAAATAAATGAATTTTTAATGTTTTGAGATGTAGTTTAAACTGTCTTCTTAACCCAACAATTTACATTCCGTTGTTGCTGCATCCTTTTATTTAAGGACTTGTTTTAAAAGTCTTTTTGTCACACCTTCCAAAATTCGCTTATTAGTAGTAAATTTTGCTTATAGGAGCATGGCTCCTGTATTACAAGGGAAAAATATAAAGAGCACATTTTAGGATTATAATTATTAAAAGATAACTTGTTCATATCATTGTACAGTAAGTGTCAACTGTGTGCCTAACTGTTCTATCAATGTTTTCCTTAAAGAGGAAACAACAATCAGAATGTCAATTATTTTTATTGAACTAAAAAGAATAAACATTTTATTTGGTTTGTGTTATGTTCTGTCCATTAGAAAATACTAATAAAGTATTAACAAACATTTTTGTCGAGTTTGCTTAGTAAACATGTATTTTTGTTATATTTAAAACGCTTGCTTGGTAGTCTTATTTTTAGTATCTATATGTGTTTTCATTTTAGAAATCAAGCAATTCAAGTTTCAGGTTGATAGATGAGCTACTGAGTGATTACTGACTTTAACTAACTGAATTTAATTTTTCCTTTTATGGGTCAAATAATTTACTACCACAATGTTAAAGAAACTTTATGTTTTCCTGTCATATAAAATTATAAAGGAGTTTTCCCTAGACAAAAAGTTTTATAATTAGTAATCCATTAGCAGTTTTTATTTGATCTCAGTTTTAATTCATCTTTTGACTAATATTTTAGACATTTTTGGTTCTAAAAGGCAATAAATTCAGTACTCAGCAACGTAACTATAGATAATTGTTCATAATATTTGCAGACTTCTTGGAGCTATATCCAAAGACTTTTCAGATATCAGATGTGATAATTGCTACCCCATCAGGGACTGCATAATATTTCTTTGAATGCATTCTGTAAAATATTGGCCTTTAAGATGTTCCTGGGGGGAAATTTTTATGTAATTTACACAGAACTGTCCACATACTATCCAAAACCCCAAAATGTTCCTTCACAATTCAAATGACGATATCCAAGGCTCTGAGAAGTTCTGTAAGGAATCTAACTTTGCTTACCAAATTTACCAAACTTAGTTAACCACAGAACCTCTTTGTCATAAATAGCTTGAGGACTGTGTTCCCAAGGCATATAAGTTAGAAAATCTTTAGTAGGGGAGAAAAAAGTAAAGCATCTTTCTTTAGTTAGGGAATGTAACCCAGAGAAAGTAATGGTTTGGAGACAAAAGGATTTTTTGTGTGTTTGTTTCTTAAGCCTACCATTCCAATGGAAAGTTCAATCTTTGGAAGAAAAAGAATATGGAAAGTTAACTGCTGATTATATAGCAGATATTAAAGAGTTAAACGTGGCTCTGAGTACCAGAATAATGTACTCAGTGAAAGTTGATCGAGTGCATCTCATGAGAAGTGGGAAAGATACTTGACAAGGATTTTGCTGATGCGATCAAAAGAGTAGTAACTAGAAAATGCAAAAGGGAAGAGAGACATGTCATACAGTTCTGTTCATACCATGTGTCAGACATTGACCCATATATATGATTGCTGATAATATGTTTGATTTAGGAAAACTTGGAGCATCTCAGAATGAAAATTGTACTTAATCACTCATGAGAAATGTATTCAACATGATATTTTAACTTAAATTGGTAAATATGATCTTTTACATATTATCAAGAGTGGAATGAAACAATAGGACTGTGTGTTGGAAGATCCCCTAAATACCCGCTGGTGATTCACTGACTAGGGCTCAGCATATAGTTATACTCACAGCTAAGATCTATTACAGCAAGAGGATATAGAACAAAATTGAAGGGGGAAGGTGCATGGGACAGTCTAGGGAAAATCAGGCTTAAGCTTCCAAGGGTTCTCTCCCAATGGAGTCACACAAGATGCATGTAATTCCCCCAGCAAGGAGTTGTAACAACAGGTGTGAATTGTTGCCAACCAGGGAAACTCATTCAATACGTAGGGCCTATGGTTCTTACTGGGTTTATTCACAGGGGCACCCTCTGCCTGGCATCAACCAAAATTCTAGACTCAGAAGGAAAGCACCTGTTCAGCATAAACCATATTTTTGTACAAACAGTTTAGGCTTAGTGAGCCACTTTTCTCAGTGTTGGGGATTGGTGGGAGCACTCCTAAAATCTGAGTTCCCAAATACCTGAGGACAAGGACCAACCTTGTAAGCAGGTCTTTCAAAGGACAGCAGTCAAGCCTGCTATAGTTACTTCTGCAAACTATATACCTTAATCCAAGAACTGGCTAATAGAAAGTAATGAGTTGCACTGAAGGTCGGTAAGATTTATCCTTGTGTTAAAGCCTTCACACCTAGAAGTGGAAACATGGCAGAGAGAATTTAGATGTGGATAAAGGAGAAAAAAGTTCAAGTGATATTGATATAGGTATTTATTGCAACCCAAGAAACTGTAGGAATAGATTGTGTATTTCCAATAAAGATTATCATAGCAAAGAGTTATATAGCACAATATTCATAACAACCTTACAAGGTGTAGGTACTATTTTATCTTCTCCAATTTACAAATGGGGAAACTAAGGCCTAGAGTGGTTAAGCCAATTGTCCAAAATTTCACAACTGGTAAGTGTTCAAGCTGAAATCTCAATCCAAGTGATCGGCTCTAGTCTGTGCCATGGTTTCTCAACAGTGGCACTGTTGGCATTTTGGGCTGCACAGTTCTTTGTTGTGGGAGCTGTCCTGTGTATTATAGGATATATAGCAGCATCCCTGAGCTCTGCTCATTAGATGATGCCAATAGCACTCTCCCCAACCCCCCACCATTGGGATACCCCAAAATGTCTCCTTTCCAGACATTGTTTAGTGATGGCTGGGGGGTGAAATTGCCACCAGTTGAGAACCATTGACCTAACCTTTTAGTCACAAAAACAAGGTAGAGATCGAAGACTTCAATTCTGAATATCTAAGTGTCTCTTCTTTTTCAGCAAACACCTGACAAATTTGTGGCTTGCCTTGGAGGAAGTAAATGGAATTCCTAATTGCCTTAAAGGGAGGGGAAGGCTGGAAGCAGCAAAATCAAATATTTTACTTTACCTGCATTTAAGTAAGCATCCCATAGTTAAGGAGGTGGGGTAAGGGACTTTGCAACCTGAGATTAACAAGAAAAACATGGTTTTTCACTATGTTTGAAGGTGTGAGGTCAATTAATGATCATATAAGAAAATTGCTATTTTATTCCCTGACCTGGCTAATTATTAATTTAGTATCATTGGTACTTGTGAAAGTTGCTTTTCTTAACAAATAACTGTTCTTTTTATTTGTGAGCCAATCCTTTTAAAGCCTGAAAATTCCCTTGCAGTCTTGTTTGCGAGTAAACTCCCTTTCTAAATGCTCTTCTCTCTGAGTTTTCCATTGACAGGTGGACTTTCCACTGGGGTGCCCAAGTGACTCATCTAAGCCCAGCATTGCCTGTCAAAAGCACCTCTTCACCTTTTGCACCCAGGCACACCTTGCCTCCTAGGAGGATGAACCTCATTTAACAATTAGAGCTTTTACTCTTGCTTATTCTGTTTTCTATTATTCCTCCCACCCATGTCCCCAAAATCTCCTGTTCTTTTTCTGGGTCTTGCTCATGTCCGGTTCTGGTTTTGATTAGTACAGAGCTGCTTTTTTTCTCAATTAGTTGAAGCAATGTTGGGAAGCTGATTTTTGTGGTCTGTCCTTGTGATTCTCTGTCAAGCAATTATTTGTCTAGTATGTCTCTCCATCTTGAGGACTCTGAATATCTAGTAGCATTTCAGTCAGGCCAGTAGCTGGTCTCACCTGTAGGATTGAGAAGGCTGTTCATATTACAGCCTACACCCGTTTCCTCAGCCAGTGATAGAATCCTCCATATTTTGTCTTATTTCCACAGTACTATAAGCTTAAAACAATACTCAAGAAAAAGGTTTTCCATGCTGGCTGGAAAGAAAGCAGCTTCCTACAGTTCTTTGTGTCTGTGACTTCCCTCCTGCAACAAATCGGTGAGTTTTCTTTATTTTTGATTGGTGGGTAAAGTTGTAGAAGTGAGACTGCTAGTTCTTGTGTGTGTGTATAAATGGAAAAACAAAAAAACCCTTTTCTCTCCTTGTAAAAGAAAAGTAATTAGCCTTATACGAATGTTTGTAACTGTGTTATTTTTGCATTTGCAGCTGTCATATGCCCACTTTATTGTCTCTCAACTTCTGGACATTAATTGAGCATAAAAATTGGTCATTTATGTGTACTACTGGGAATATCTAATTTAAAAACACAGATGAACCTTCAAGTAGGAGAGAATGTATACAGAGACTTAGGTAAAAAATTGAAATTAGTTGCACCTTGTTTCAGAGTAAAGACTTGAGACTTAAGAATTTTCCTTGGTTTTTATAATAATTATATCAGGGAGTATGTATGTCTGATGGAATGAGACTGCAGATTGAATGGGAAAGATTACTTCTGGCGTGTCTGGAGCTTCGTGACTTCCTAAGCAACCTGGAGAATGTTGAGTAGCCTGATTTTTCTTTCTCCTTTCTTAAAAAAAAAAAAAAAAAAATCCCATTACAAAAAAATGAACTAGGTGAAGGTATGAAATAAAAGCTTTTTAAAAAAGTTTTATTTATTTATTTTATTTTATTGAAACATTGTACATATTTATGAGGTACGGGTTTATATTTCGATACATGTATACAATGTATAGAAATCAAATCAGGATAGTTAGCAAATTCATCATTGCAAAAATGTATCTTTTCCTTGTGATGAGAGCATTTAAGCTCCTGTCTTTTAGCCATTTGACAACATACAGTAAATTACTGTTAATTTTACATGCCTACCACTACTGTATACCCATAGAACAAATTTTACCTACCTAGCTATAATTTTGTATGCTTTAACCAACCTCTCACTATCCCTCTCTCCTCCCCTTTCCTGTCTCTGGTAACCACAGTTCTACTCTCTACTTCTAAAAGTTCAACTTATTATTATTACTGTTATTATATATAAATTTCAGCTCCCACATATGAGTGAGAACATGTGCTATTTCTCTTTCTGGGCCTGGTTTATTTCACTTAACATAATTTTCTCCAAGCTCATTCTTTTTTATGGCTGAGTAGTAGTATTTCGTTGTGTATATATACCACATTTTCTTTATCCAGTCATCCATCACTGGACATTTAGGTTGGTTCCAAATCTTGGCTATTGTGAATAGAGCTGAGATAAACATGAGAGTGCAAGTATCCCTTCAACACGTTGACTTCTTTTGCTTTGGGTGTATAACCCAGAGGTGTATTTGCTTGGGAGTTCTATCTGTAGGTGTTGAGAAACCTCCATACTATTCTGCATAATGGCTGTACTAATTTACAGTCTCACTAACAATGTGTAAGAGTTCCCTGCCT